ATGGGAGGTTCTTGGATTGTTTTGTTTTGAGGCCTAATCTGGCCTGTAACTTACTATATAGTCCAGGTTAGTCTGGAACTCACGATCCTTCTGCCTCAGTCTCCCAAAGGCTGGGATTAGGGGAGTGTACCACCATGTTAGTCTCCTGGGAAATTCCTGAACAAAGTTTTGTGGGGAAACGAGGGAAGGTTTTTACTAATAGTGGGAAAGCTGTAAAGTGGGAGGAGCCAGAGGCCTCTCACTGGTGCTGACTGGGTTACATGACAGCCTTTATGCCAGTCACTGGGGATAAAGGAGATATTGTCACCTTGGGTTGTTCACCTGCTCCTGTACAGAGCTGACATCTGCAATTTTCCAAAGCAAGACCACGTTATCACCTGCAAAAGCCGGGGAGGCTTTGAGTGATGGAAGAACTGGACAGCTGAGAGACTGGTGTCTGCAGAGACACTGTAAGAGCCTGGAGACTGGGGACAGAGCTCTGTGGAGAGCTCTTGCCAAGCATGCGCAAGGCCCAGCGCTCTGCCCCCAGCTCCATCCACAAACCAATCAACCCCAAGCTCAGAATGCAGCCTGTTATGCTGAAATAACTCAAAGGCCATCTGTTATTGTTTCAAAATGGGTTTTCATAATTGGCTGTCACATAAACCCTGGAGCATGACCGACCTTCTTGCTGTTTCTTCTGCCAGCTAGCCAGCCTCAGCTACTGCCACCTCTAGCCTTGAACTTGAGTTTCAAGAAGGTCCCTTCCACTAACATACTCCTGGAATCCTGCCTCAATGCCGGCATGGCCATTGAACCTTGATATTGGGGCCAGGGACTGTTTACCTATAGGAGACACCCCCTGAAAAGGTTTAGTCTCAGCCCAGCTCTAACTCAAACCTCCAGAGCTGAATACATATGAGTAACAAGCCCCAGCTAGAGCAGGTCTTTTCAAACGCGCTAGTACCGTCCCCTGGTGGAGATTAGGGAAACTGCACAAACGTTTGCTCTTGCTTCATTTTAGGCTGGTCCCTTCTTCACCAGACAATCTCAGCCATGCAAAACCCATGTGTTCTATTAGCTCATTGGCTATCCCACCCCCAAAGTGTTATTTTAATGTGCAGACATGGAGGCGCATGCCTATAATTCAGTACTGCGACTGGGAGGCTGCGACAGGAAGAATGGGAGTTCCAGCTCAGCCTGGGCTACATAGTGATGTCCTGTCTCAAAACAACAGGGCAGGAGATGAAGCTCAGAGGTAAAACTTTTACCCAGCACCCAGCAACACAAAGTAAATTTATTGTGGTAAAAATACACGTAAAATAAAAAACTTCTAACTTAGCCACTTCAAAAAAAATCTTTATGGACTGGGTGTAGTGGTGCATGCCTTTAATCCTAGAACTTGGGAGGCAGAGGCAGGCAGATCTCTGAGTTCAAGGCCAGCCTGGTCTACAGAGTGAGTTCCAAGACAGTTAGGGCTACACAGAGAAACCTTGTATTGAAAACAAAACAAACAAAAGAAAATGTGAAGAGCAGTGAAGAAAAAATCCCTGAAGTTGACCTCTGGCCTCTACAGGTGCATCATGTGCACCTGCACTCTCCCCCCCACCACACACAGGTGCATCATGTGCACATGCACTCCCCCCCACACACAAGTGCATCATGTGCACGTGCACTCCCCCCACCACACACAGGTGCATCATGTGCGCATGCACTCCCCCACACACACAGGTGCATCATGTGCACATGCACTCCCCCCCAACAGGTGCATCATGTGCACCTGCACTCTCCCCCCCACCACACACAGGTGCATCATGTGCACATGCACTTCCCCCCCCCCCACACAGGTACATCATGTGCACATGCACTTCCCCCACACACACAGGTGCATCATGTGCACATGCACTCCCCCCCAACAGGTGCATCATGTGCACATGCACCCCCCTACACACAGGTGCATCATGTGCACATGCACTCCCCCCCCCACCACACACAGGTGCATCATGTGCACATGCACTCCCCCCACCACACTCAGGTGCATCATGTGCACATGCACTCCCCACCCCACACAGGTGCATCATGTGCACCTGAACCCCCCCCCCCCCCATGCACACACAGGTCCTGTTCCATTGCCTCTACAGGTGCATCATGTTTCCGTACACTCTCCGCCCCCCCCCCAGGTCACATTCCATTATTCACCCCCTTTTGCTGACTGGTGTGCTGGCACACTTGGGTTGTGCTCACACTTTGAGAAACACTGTTTGAGCACAGAGGAGCACATCTCTCTACAAGTCTCTAGTTTTGATTCTTCACCCCTCCCCGCCCCGTCCCCCCCCCCCCCCCCGGAGCTGAGGACCAAACCCAGGACCTTGTGCCGCTTGCTAGGCAAGTGCTCTACCACTGAGCTAAATCCCCAACCCCTAGTTTTAATTCTTTTGGGACTAACGCCTGAAGAAGCAGTGCTAGATCATCGTGTAATACTGGATTCACTTCTGAGAGACTGCCAGACGGTTTCACGGCCCCCAACCATTTTCCATCCCTTTATCTATTTGCGTTTTCTCCACCTACTTGACAGATGTTGGTGTTGGCTTTAATTTTCTTTGCTTTTTTGTTTTTATTTTATGAAATTATTTCTTTTATCTTTTGATACTGTGATATAATTAATCATTTGTATTTTTAGAATGTATGTGCATGTGTTTGCATGCAATGTGTGGGAGGCCAGCAGAGGGCGCCTCACTCCTTGGAGCTGTAGTTACAGGTGGTTGTGAGACATCCAACATTGATCCTGGGATTTGAACTTCTGATTCTCTTACCTCTACCTCCCAAGCATGGGATTATAGGTGTGTGACACCAGGCCTAACTCAGCTTTCCATTTTTATGAAGCCCAATTTGTCCACTTTTCTTTCTTTCTTTTCTTCTTTTTCCTTCTTTTTTGTTTGTTTGTTTTGTTTTTGTTTTTCAAGACAGGGTTTCTCTGTGTAGCCCTGGCTGTCCTGGAATTTACTCTGTAGACCAGGCTGGCCTTGAACTCAGAGATCCACCTGCCTCTGCCTCTCGAGTGCTGGGATTAAAGTGTGCACCACCACACCTGGCTTCTTTTTAATTTTAAATGTTCAAGTATTTATTTTGTGTGGAGTGAACTCATGTGCCATAGCGCGTGAGTGCAGGTAAAAGGAAAAGCTCTGGGAATGGGCTATCTCCTTCCACCATGTGGGTCCTGAGGCTCAAACGCAGCTTGTCAGGCTTGATGTCCGGCACCTTCCCTAACGAATCATCCTGCTGGGCCTGTTTCTACTATTGCCTATATCCAAGAAGCCATAGCTAAGTTAAGACATTGTACCCTCTGTTTTCTTCTGTAGCCTTGGCTTTAAGTTTTGGCCTTTGATGCATTGTAATTTTGATTTCAAGTTACTTTTATATCTCATGTAAAGTCAGTTGGATTCTTCCATATGTGATATCCAGTTTCCCTGAGGTCTACGGTCGGTTGAAGAATTGCTCACCCACATCAAATAGTCTTTGCTCCTTTATCAAAAAGCATCTGGCCAGGGCTGGAGAGATGCTTAGCAATTTGAACTTGTTGCTCTTACAGTCTTGATTTGGTTCTCAGTCACACATGGCAGCTCACAACTATCTGTAACTCCAGTTCCCAGGGATCCAGCACCCTCTTTGGCCTCTTCAGGCACCAAGCATGCACATGGCACACATACATATGTGTAGGCTAAGCATTCATACATGTAAAATAAAAGTAAAATTTTTTAATGTATGGCCATATATAAGAGTGCTTTTGTCTTGGATTTCTATTCTAGTCCATAGAATATTCTGGAATAAAATAAAGAAATGAAATATTGTATATGTTTGTCCTTGTGCCAGCACCAGAATGTTTTGATTGCTGTTGTTTTGTAGTAGGTTTGGAAGAGAAAAAGCATGAGTCCTGGGCAAGCAAGATGGGCCAGGGGGTAGAAGCACTTTGCCAAGACTGAGGGCCCAAGGGAAAGAGGAAACTCTCAGAAGTTGTCATCTGAGGGCTGGAGAGGTTGTTCAGTGGTTAGAAGCGCTGGCTGCTCTTGTAGAGGACCCAGGTTCAGTTCCCAGCGTCCACATGGCAGTTCACCACTGTCTGTAACTCCAGTTCCAGGGTATCTCTTCCCCCTCTTGGGGACATGGTGTACAGACACACAGAAATACAGATACTACACATATTGCTTCTCAACCTTTTGGCTAAGATCAACTGTAGATACTACACGTAATTTAAAAATAAAAATAAATCCTGGCTGGGCGGTGGTGGCACATGCCTTTAATCCCAGCACTTGGGAGGCAGAGCCAGGCGTATCTCTGTGAGTTCGAGGCCAGTCTGATCTACAGAGTGAGCTCCAGGACAGGCACCAAAACTACACGGAGAAACCCTGTATCGAAAAAACCAAAAAAAAAAAATTATGTCTTTCACATATGTGCATGGTGGCATATGCTCTCAAGCCCATGAGCATGCACATGCACACATACACACAAAGTAAATAAATAAATAAATGTGTGGTATTTTTTCCCAAAATAGGACACCTAGAATTCCACAGCCCCTGAGGCCCACTGCACACCATGCTCTTGGCTTCTGTGATGTCATCGTTCATCATTACATCAAATCTTTTTTTTTTTTTTTTTGGGTTTTTTTTTTGGTTTTTTCGAGACAGGGTTTCTCTGTGTAGCTTTTGCGCCTTTCCTGGAACTCACTTGGTAGCCCAGGCTGGCCTCGAACTCACGGAGATCCGCCTGGCTCTGCCTCCCGAGTGCTGGGATTAAAGGCGTGCGCCACCACCGCCCGGCCTACATCAAATCTTTAATTTTGATTTTGATTCTGCATTGCCCACATTCCTCCAGTGTCAGCATTTAAGTTTGACCTTATCTTTTCCTGTCTTGATAAATGTGCATCTTTTTATTTTGAAAATAAATTGAAGGTACCATACCATCTAATCCTTAGTATATATTAGTGCATGCTTCCTAAGCTATGCCCATAAATGAAACCATAAGTGTGCATTCTTTCACATCTATATTCTTTTGCTGAATTTTGTTCCTGTTTCACGTTTCACAAACTGTGGAAAATAAAACAGTACAGCTAAAATCTGGCAATGGTCTATAATTATTGCTAGCTGATTCAGATGTAACTGAACTCAAAATAAACTGGGGTTTTGTTTTAATTTTGCTATACTGGAGATTGAATTCAGGGTCTTGTGCATGTCAGGCAAGAGCTCTAACCTTGAGCCTTGCTACTGGGGGATTCTAGGCAGGGGCTCTACCACTGGGCCACACCTCACCCCCTCGCTGGGGGATTCTAGGCAGGGGCTCTACCACTGAGCCACATCCCAGCCCCTCACTGGGGGATTCTAGGCAGGGGCTCTACCATGAAGCTACCTCCACAGCACACTTCTTAATTTTGAAGCTTTTAAAAGTATTGTTTGTTTTGAGTTAAGGTTTCACTACGTAGCTTGGAACTCACTAAGTAGTGAGTGTCAAACTTATAGAGATCCTTCTGCCTCTGCTTCTCAATTGCTAGAATTAAAGATGTGGATCGCCACACAGGTTGGATTTATTTTATTTCTAATTGTGTGTATATGTATGTGTCTATATGTGGGTATGTACACATGAGTGCAGGTGCCCATGGGGATCAGAAGAAAACATCAGATTCTCTAGAGCTGGAGGGACGCGATTGTGAGTCACCTGGTGTGGGTGCTGGGAACCAAACTCAGGTCCTCAGAGCGTTAGCTGCCATTAGAGCTCTGAATCCCCGGGCCATCTCTCCAGCCCCTATACTTTCAGTGGCCCAGGCTGACTTTGAACTTGTGCTTCTCTTACCTCAGCATCCTGCAGAGCCAGAATGACAGGGGTGGACCACCATGCCCAGCCTTGTGTGTGTGTAACGCCAAGGCTGGCTGTAACCTGCAACCCAGAACCTCACACGTGCTAAAGCACACACCCTTCCACTGAGCGCATCCCTAGGCTCTGAATGGGATTTTAATAGGTCTTTCCTACTTCTAAAATTTTTACTTTTGAAAAGTATAATGATTCTTAAAATAGATTCTCATTGTTCAGATGTCATTTCCAGTGGCTCTGTTCCTTCGGAGCAGTTTCATTTCTATAAAAGGAGCCTTGCTTATCCCAGACGTCAACTTGATCTTCTTGTCACTCACACGCATTCCTTCATGTCTTCCCCTGAAAGGAAACCATGTGTTAGCACCACACAGGGCTCACTGAATGAGCTCAGCAGGACAGGAATGCACAGGGCCATTGGAGCAAGACATACCGTGGCTGTCGGAAGCGGGTGTCACGAAGAGTCTCAGACCAGGTGTCCCCTCAGCTCAAAGGGTAGAGAGTTAGGTTCCGCGCCTAAGTCTTCTGCCACCTGCTCATAGAGTCCTCTCGGATCTTCATACTTGACCTCAGGCCAGCGAAGGTCATAGGGGTCCTAACAGGCAAGAAAGTGGAGTCAGAGCCACAGAGAGACGCCCTGTGGGACGTCACTGCAGTTCTGGGGGACACACATCCCTGTGAGCTTCCTTTTAAGCCTGATGGTTTAGCACACTTGCTTGCCATGCACAAGGCCTTCTGGGCAATGCGCGCCCCCCCCATGTTGCTGAAACTAAAATGAAGCCAGAAACCATTATAAATAAGCCATTGCGGATCATACTTGTGATTCTAGTGTCCTAGAGGCTATTGCTTTTAGTTTGAGGAGAGCCTGGGCTACATAGTGACTTCTAGGCTAGCCAGGGCTACATAACAAGGACTCACCCTACCTCAAAAAAAGTTCTCTATCTGTCTATCTGTCTGAAAGTGGAGTTTGAGAACAGTCAAGATGGGGTGAGGGTGGATTCTGTTGAAGCGAGAAGTTAAGCAGACAGGGGTTCATGAAAATGGTTCCTTATAGTCACTTCTCTGTGTGGGTGGGGTCTTCTCTACAACTGAGGTTTAAAGCTGGGTATGGTAGCATCTGCCTATAAATCTTAGCACCCAGGAGTCTGAGGCAGGAGGATTTTGAGTTAAGAGCTACATTGGCCTCTGCATAGTGAGATAGATAATAGATAGATGGATAGATAGATAGATAGATAGATAGATAGATAGATAGATAGATAGACAACACAGGGCAAAACAGCAATACCCAGTAATAATGATAGTAATAATAATAATAATAATAATAATAATAATAATAATAATGGTAGTGGTAGTGGTAGTGGTAGTGGTAGTGGTAGTGGTAGTGGTAGTGGTAGTAGCTGAGAGCCAGATGTGGTGGCTCAAGCCTGTAATCCCAGTATTTTGAAAGCCACGGCAGGAGAATTGCCATTAGTTCAAGGTCAACCTGGGCTACAGAATGAGAAAGACCTTGCTCAATCAATCAATCAATCAATAGAAACAGATAGATAGATAAATAATAATAAAGTGACTAATAAGAACAACCCTCATGATGTCAGCTATGGCATCTTAGGATGGGTCTCACCTCTGTCTCACAGCCCCCAACACATTTCCCCATCAAAATGGAAGACAGTCCAGGGCAGTGACACACAACTGTGATCCCAGTACTCTCTGAAGCTGAGGCAGGGGGATTGCCAGTCTAAGGCCAGTCTTTGATATACAGTGAGATGCTGGATTTTTTTAAAAAGTATGAAACTGAGATGGCTCAGAAAGCAAAGACACTTGCCACCAAGCTGACAACCCACGTTCAACCCTCAGGACTCATGGTGGGGAGAGAACCAATCTTTTACCAGCTGCCCTCTGACCGGCACACACACAGGCACATGCATGCACACATATAGTCAGTTAAGTGGGGGAAGGTCAGAGAGGGTGGCCCTTTTTGGGGGTGTGCTCTGTTCTAGGACTCGGGGAAAAGGCATGTGTAGTTCAGCAAACTCGGAGCAGTGCCGGCCACGAGGCCAACACAGCCACCCTCATCTGCATCAAGAGCTGAAGATGGTTGATAATTATAAATTGTCAGGAAAAATCAGAGAATGATAGTAGTTGTGCTGTATAGAAATTAATTAGAAAAAAATTAACTAGAAATTACTGAGAGGTGATGACACATGCCTTTAATCCCAGCACTCTGGAGACAGAGGCAGGAGGATCTCTGTGAGTTCAAGGCCAGCCTTGTCTACAGAGTGAGTTCCAGAAAAGCCAGGGCTGTTACAAAGAAAACCCTGTCTCAAAAAACAAACAAACAATAACAACAACAAAAACCCAAAACCAAAACAAAATAAACAAGCACAAACTAAAATTCAACTTCGAACACCCAAATATAAATTCACCTTGAAGGCAGCCTGGCATGTTCATCTACGCATGTGCTGTGACTACTTCTACCCTGTGACAGTGGTGAATAGCTTAGAGGAAGGCCATATGTCCCCCAAAGCCCGAGGATTCCACCAGCGTTTCCCAGGAAACATACAGTCCAGCACCACGGACAGCGCTTCAGCAGCCCTGTTATCTGAGCTGGGACAGTAGAATCTCATGTCCACACCTTGGATTGACACCAAGGGAAATCCTCGGCCCAGAGATGCTGGGGTATTGGTCAGGCTCAGGGGAGAGAGTCCAGCTTTTTGTTTTGTTTTGGTGAATTTTTTTTTTGAGACAGAGTCTTGATATGTAGCCCAGGCTGCCTTTGAACTCCTCTTGAGTGTGGGAGGACGAGCAGGTACCACCATACTCAGTTTGAATGTTAGGCATGTTTCTCACCTCCCTTGGCATGATGCAGTGGGTGGGTGGGAGTGGAAGTGCCTGCCTGTCGTTGGTACCTGGCCAGCCACCATCCTCACTCACTCTGGGCTCTCTACCCTCTCCCATTCTCAGCCCAGCGTATTGAACAGTGCTGGCCTGTAACCTCTGGCCCCGTAGATGAACGCCGACCCAGGCTTATCCAAATGGAATAATGTGCTAGATGGGGCGGCTCACACAGGTAATGTGAGCACTTGGGAGATGAAGACAGGGCAAGCAGGAGTTCAAAGTCATCTTCAACTGCATAACAAGCTCGAATCCAGTCTGGGCTGGATTCTCAAGACAAAATCTCCAAAACCAAATGACCCATTCTATCATGTCTCAGCAGTTGGCTCAACAACATGCATCTGGCCAAAGGTGGATCAGTGTGTGCCTGCACTGTGCATTGGGAACTACTTGGAAAAGAGACATTCTCTTTCTTTGAAGATTTAAAATCTAACAGGATGGAAAGCGAGCTCTCTACCAGGGAACAGTTAGGGAGAGATTCTAAGTCCTGTTGTGCGCGAAGATGATTCTAGCATGTAGCTTTTCAGCTGAGTGGATCAAAAAATTCTTCCTCAGAGTAGCAAGATGGCTCAGCAGGCGAAGGCACACGTCATGAAAGTCTGGTGGCGTGAGTTTGATTCCCCAGAACCTACACAAAGCTTTCCACAAAACTGTCCTCTGACATTCACATGTACGCCGTGCATGCACACATGACAATAAGTAAACTAGTCTTTAAAAACTCTTTCTCGCCAGGCGGTGGTGGCGCACGCCTTTAATCCCAGCACTCGGGAGGCAGAGCCAGGCGGATCTCTGTGAGTTCGAGGCCAGCCTGGGCTACCAAGTGAGTTCCAGGAGAGGCGCAAAGCTACACAGAGAAACCCTGTCTCGAAAAACCAAAAAAAAAAAACTCTTTCTCTCGCTCAGCTTAGCCAGTGTGGTGGAGATGCCTAAGGCAACATATCCCTTCCTTCTCCAACAGTGGCAGAACTTTAGACAACAACTCCCAGACTCTGTGGCTAGACGGAGCCTTGGGATCATGTTCCCGTCGATCAGAGGAGAGCAGAGGGGCAGGTGACCATTTCTGGGTCTCTCTGGCACCTTCTTTCTCTGCCCTCCTCTAGTTGATTGATCCTCCCATCCCCTTGGTAAATTGACCTATGCCCGCAGACCCCAGCAATGTGTGTGTTAGAAAATGACGGAAATACAGGGAGAGAACTCTGGGTTCTAAATCACTTGGGCAGCTATGTGAGAGGAAAGATCTCATTTTTCACTTAGAGGAGACAGAATCTCACTATGTAGACAAGGCTGGCTTTGAACTCACCCCCCTTCCTCCTCCTCTCTGGCATGCACCACCATTCCTGGGTCAAGGTGTATCATGTAGCTCTTCCTGCCACTGCATCGAGGCTGGGCCTCTTTGTCACAGTGGTGTACCCTAACTGACACACAGTAGGAGGTGGGCTTCCAGCCTAGACAATCTGGTGATGAGAATCTCCTCACCATTTGGACTTCATCATAGAGGGGTCCCCAGACCCCAGGCGGGCCATAGGCTCTCTCCACCTCATCATACAGGTGTCCAGGGAAGGCCATGTCTTCATCTTCAATACCTGTGAAGGCTGGAATTGGTAGACATTAGGGTTAGGATGGGAAAATATCTCCCTCAAAGGCTCACATGTTAGGGGCTCAAACCACTGCTAGAGGTCTGGGAGGTTCTAGAAACTTCAGTGGAGGGTGTGGCTAGTTGAACAAAGTATGTCACTGGGATGTGTCCTTGGGGTGGGGAGTCTCTTGCCTCTGGTCCCCTTCCTGTCTGGCTCACTCTGCTTCCTGCCCACCATGAAATGAGCAGCTGTCCTCACCACCCAAGCTTGTAGCCAAGCAGCCATGGATAGAACCCTCTGAAGTGAGGCGATAGAAATCTGCCTCCTCAGGCCGTTCTCTGGGGTCACAGTAATACAGAAGTAACTGACATGGCTTGGAAGGAAGGCTATCAGAGGGCCCAGTTCAGATGTCAGGGTACCTGGAAACGGGGAGTCCTGGTGTGGTCATGACTCACCTTGGGGATAAGTCACCTCTTCCAGTGTGGGGGGAAGCTGGGGGCTGAAGTCCCTCATGGAGTAGTAATGTGGTTCCACTTCCGCTGTGCTAGCCTGTCACATGCACACACATGAACATACACGCACGCACACAACAAAACCAGTAGACAAGGTCATTTCCCTTGACTCGCTGGTTCCAGGAGATGACAATGATCAGCCTGGAGCTGAGGCTGGAGGCTGCAGGGTGGGGTGGGGTGGGGGTGGGGAGCCTCACTCACCAAGGAGCTTCTCGTGTCCCGGTCCCCAGTCCACTGACTCTCCTCATACTCGTTCCTGATTCGGTCTTCCTCCGACCTTCCAGGAAGAAAGAAAGAGTAGGTGAAAGCTGGTACTAAGCCTGCGCCCTCCCTACCCCTCCACCCCCACTCCCCCACCCCCTGCCGGCACTCCCAAGCTTCTCCCGCTTACCCTGCCTCTGTCTTTTCTGAGACCTCTGAGAGAAACAGGAAAAGGGGTTTCAGAGACTCTGCCCTCCTGGACCTGGGCAGAGCTGTGCTGTGCAGAAGCCCCAGGGTCCCGGACCTGGGCAGAGCTGTGCTGTGCAGAAGCCCCAGGGTCCCGGACCTGGGCAGAGCTGTGCTGTGCAGAAGCCCCAGGGTCCCGGACCTGGGCAGAGCTGTGCTGTGCAGAAGCCCCAGGGTCCCGGACCTGGGCAGAGCTGTGCTGTGCAGAAGCCCCAGGGTCCCGGACCTGGGCAGAGCTGTGCTGTGCAGAAGCCCCAGGGTCCCGGACCTGGGCAGAGCTGTGCTGTGCAGAAGCCCCAGGGTGCCACCCCTCCGGTCTCCAGCAGTGAGGGAGTCTCTCCTCACCCTCAGCCAGGCGCCTCAGTCTTCTCCGCCAGAGGAGTCCCCCAACACAGGAGGCGTTGGAGAGCAAGAGAAGACCACCGACCGCAAACAGCAGGGGCATCAGGGGCAGCCTCGGGGGTCCTGGGAGCGGGAGACGCCCCTTGGTGAACTCCGACGCCTGGATGCAGGCTGGGAGCTGGGTTCTGAGAAAGCCAGGCCCTGACTGTGCCTAAGTCACCTTGAAGATCGGTGCCCCAGCGCACCTCAGGTGTGATGACGCCGTGCAAAGGGTTAACTGAGAGCGGAGGGTCAGGCCTCAGGGTGGGTGGCACCCCTCCACCCTGGCTGGGAACACCATGGTGTGACCTGAGCTGCGCCCCACCATGGCGCACTGACACCTCCAAAACCGTGAGTGGAAGCAAAGCCTGCCTCCTCATAAGCCCTCCTGTCAGCTGACTGGCCAGGTGCTGGCAAGAGCGGCCCAAGGTCAAAGAGGCAAACAGGCCATGACCCCAGCTCCACCCGTTCTTAAAAAAGTGATCTGTTGTAATGTGTGGGAGCATATGCATGAGTGCGCATGTGCGGCTGCCCACATGTAGAAGTTGGAGGTCGGTGCTGGGTGTCTTCCTCCATTGCTCTCTGCCTTATTTTTTAAAATATACATACATATATATACACAATACACACATATGTATATATAACATATACATATACATACACACATGTACATATACATACACACATATGTATACATATATACACATACACACCTATAGACATACAGACACATACACACATATACACATACATATATATACATATATCAGTTTATTTATTTCATGTGTTTAAATGTTTTTTACATTTAAATGTTTTTAACATTACATTTTTTACATCTGCACGCATGTATGCAGATCATGTGTGTCTTGTACCTGTGGAGGTCAGAAGAAGGCATCATATCCCCTAGAACTGGAGTTACAGGTGGCTGTGAGCCTCCATGTGGTTGCTGGGAGTCAAACTCAGGTCCTCTGGAAGAGCACCCAGTGATCTTAACCACAGAGCCATCTCTTCAGCTCCCAGTTTAATTTTTATGAAAATTTATTTTTGTTTTATGTGGATAAATATTTTGCCTGTATGTAAGTATGTACACAATGTGTGTACAGTGCCCCCAGGAGACCAGAAGAGGGGGCGGAGCCCCTGGAACTGGAGATATGGAGGGCTGTGAGCCACCATGTGGGTGGTGGGAACTGACCCTGGGTCTCCTGGAAAAAACAGCAAGGGCTCTTACCGACTGAGCAATCTCTCCAGCCCTAAAGAAAGATTTACTTGAATTTCAAAATGTGTAGTGTGTTCTCTCAAGTGCATGCATGTGCCTACAGAGGCCAGAAGAGGGCGCTGGATCTTCTGAAGTTGAAGACACAGGCAGTTGTGAGCCATCTGATGGCCAGGAACTGAATCCTGTCTTGTTTTTTTGGGGCAGCATCTCACTGAACCTGGAACTGCTGCTAGCCAGGCTGGCTAGCCATCAAGCCTTTGGGGTCCACCTGCCTCTTTCCCAGCCCCAGGTCACAGCTGGACTCAGGTCCTCATGCCTGTATGTGTTTACCCACTGAGCCATCTGCCCAGTCCCTGGACCCTTCTTTCCACCCAAAGGCAGATGGCTTCTTCCTCAAGTCAAACTGTTAGCAGCAGGCCCTCCCTCCACCTCCACAGAGCCCTGTCTGTGACAGGAATCCCCCTCTACACTGGCTCCATGTTAAGTCATGCCATTTGCCAGTGGGGGGCTGTAGCTATTATGACAGAATTCGAAGCTTGAGCTATCAGAGCTTACCTTTCTTGCTGTTCTTGGAGCCCCTGGCCATCTCCATGTGAGCACTCTAAGTTACCTCCATTGTCCTAACTATGAGCCAGATGACTGAACATGTATGAGGAGGAAGCCATCTGAGATCAGTCACAGTCTAGTGGTCAGCTGACCATAGAGATGATTTACATGAGCCCAGGCCAAAATTGTCCCAGCAGACTCAGAGTATCATGGGAAATGTATGCTGCTAAGCACCTCCATGTTTGGGGTAGTTTGTTACACAGCTGAAGCTAACTGATACAGCCACCTCACAGTGAGAGCATGGATGTAGCCAGTTCTTTTTGGTTGTTGCTGTTTCTTTTGGGGGTGGAAGTGTCTGGCTATGCAGCCCAGACTGACTTCAAACTTGTGATCCTCATGTCAGCCTCTGGAGTGCAGGGAGTGTAGGCAAGCACTAGCTAGCTGATTGTTTCAGAATTAAGACAGGGCTGCAAAGACGGTGCAGGAGTAAGGGCACATGCTGTCCAAGCCCAGTGTGGATCTCCAGCATCCACACAAATGCTGGCTATGGTGTGTGTGTGTGTGTGTGTGTGTGTGTGTGTGTGTGTGTGTGTGCGCGCGCGTTCGTGTGTGCGTGTGTGTGTGTGTGTGTATGAGAGAGCGAGCGAGCATATGAGTGTGTGTATGAGAGAGTGCATGTGTGTAAGTGTGTGTGTGTGTGTGTGTGTGTGCGTGTGTTGCAGAATGGAGACAGGCTCTCTGGGGTTTGCTAGCAGAGCAGCCTAGCTAAAAAATGTCAGACGAGGGGGCTGGAGAGACGGCTCAGTGGACCTGAGTTTGATTCCAAGCACCCACATTGCGTGGCTCACAACTGCCTGTTACTCCAGCTCCAGGGGATCCAATGTCCTCTTTTGGCCTTTGTGGGCACCCCCACACACCTGCCATTTACACACACCTTAAAAAAGTAAATAGTAATGATTATTACATCCTAAGAAAATAAAACAGAGATCTCTAGATTCACAGACAGACCCTGTCTCAGGGGACCAAGGCAGAGAGAGAGTGATTGAGGACACCCAATGTGGTCCTCAGGCCTCTGCATTCACAAAAGAGGACACACACACACACACACACACACACACACAGCATTAAATTATGCCGGGCACAATAGCTCATACTTGTAAATCCAGAACTTGGAAGGCCTGGGTCAGAAGATTACTACAAATTATAGCAAGACCCTGTCTCAAAAACAAAAAGAAAAGAGTGGATCTGAGGATGCACCTCATCGGCAGAGTGCTGATCCGGCATGCACAGACGCGGCCCCGGGTGTGATCACAGAATTGCTCGGGAAAGGAGAAAAGCTATCACTTCCAGCAAGAAGAGCAGAACGGGACACATGGGGGTCTGCAGGGATTCAGCTAAGTCTTTGGCAGTGGTGACCACAAGGGAGGAGACTGAGTGAAGAGAAGCAGGGAGGAGGGGCCGGGAAGGAGCGCTTGCCTGGAGGCTGCTCTGTGGGCAGCTGGTGGTCTGTGTCTTCAGGAGCCTGGTCCAGGCCTGCGGGTGGAGAGAGATTAAATTAATACCAGGAATCGGATAAGCCTGAAGGAGCCTCCACGTCTTAAGCTCTTCAGCTGACTTAAAAGATCACAGAATTGGCGGGAGGCTTCTTAGGGACATTTCATTTTATTGCCTTTTTTTTTTTTATTTTAAAGATTTGTTTTTTATGTGTATCAGTGTTGTGCCTATGTGTATGTGTGTGCACCATGTGCATGCCTGGTGCCCAGGTGGTGGTGCTGGAACCAACCCCAGACCCTCTGCAAGAGTAACAAGTACTCTTCGGGACTGAGTCAATTCCGCAGCTCTCTCTGTGACATTTTAAAGACAACGATACATTACAGCAGTTCTGTGCCAATAATTACAATGAGTTATTAATTCGTGTTTTATAGTGTATATGTTCTTTTAATGTGAATCACCAACTTGTTGAATTAATAAAAAGGATGTTGGGGGGCGTGGCTCAGTGGGTAAAGGCCCTTTTCACTAAGCCCTGATGGCCTGAGTTCAATCCCTGGATCCACACCGTGGGGGAAGAGACCTGACTCCTGCACCTTGTCCTCTGACCTCCACAGCATGCTGTGACATGCTTGCTTGTGTACGTGAATGCACACACAATCGATCATACATACAAAAACACTTAAAATAGCTTAGATATATTTATGCATTTATATGCGGATATGTAAGTAGCAATAATAATGAAAGAAATAGAGGCCGTGAATTTGGTTGGAGGGAGGAGAGGGAAGGGAGAAATGATGTAATTATTATTTTTTTTTTTTTTTGGTTTTTCGAGACAGGGTTTCTCTGTGTAGCTTTGCGCCTTTCCTGGATCTCGTGCTGTAGACCAGGCTGGCCTCGAACTCACAGAGATCCGCCTGCCTCTGCCTCCCGAGTGCTGGGATTAAAGGCGTGCGCCACCACCGCCCAGCTATATTTTAATTTAAAAATGGGACAGTAGGAGAGACGGCTCAGCAGGCAAGCACACTGCCTGCTCTTCCAGAGGACCCACGTTCAGTTTCCAGCACCCACATGGTGGCTCACAATTTTCTCTAACTCCCATTCCAGGGGATCTATCCTTGGCTGGCAGTAGGCACACACAGAGTGCCCATACATACAAGCAGGCAAAACACCCACACAAATAAAATTTCTAGAAATAAAAATAAATAATACTTTAAAAATTAAAAATCAAGAATGTCTTTAAACAGAAAAAATGAATTTGGAAAAAAAATAAGGGTATTCGTCTCTGTTGGAGTATGAACTAGCAGAGGTATGAACTAGACATTGGAGCAAGGGAGGTGAACATAGTTTGTGTTTTAGAATTCAAGGGTAAGGACTGGAATGGAAGGAGCGCATGGTGGGGTGTGGGGGAGACCAGAAGGAACGCTGGTCGGTGAGAGGAAGACAGGACCCGGGGTGTTCCCGGCAAAGCAAGCCAAAGCAGAGCAGGACGTCTCCTTTACATTCAGGTCATAATTTTGCACTGTCTAAGAGCACATAAGATACGTCGCTTCCTCTAATCCTCACAAGAGCGAGAGGAACCTCCTTCCAGAAACCTGGGTGGAGAACTCTGGGAGGAAAGTCTGTTTCTAGCTGGGACGGTGGCTCATAGGGCAGACCCAGCGCTCACAAGTGAAAAGCCAGCCTGGTCGGTACGGTGCACTTCCAGGCCAGCTTGGGTTGCAGACTGAGATCCTGTCTCAATAATCAAAGAACAAAACACAAATAAAAACTACTTTTAGAAGCAGATATTTGCTTAAGGCTACAAAACCAGGAAGTGGTAAGCTTCAGGCTTTTGTAAACCAAGCCGTGCAGACTTAACGCATGCGCTGCAACATCTGTCAGATCTCAGATCTCAGTGCTCTCATTGGTCATTTTCTTGTGGTGCTGGGCCCTGACCGAGGCCTCGATTTTTTTTTTTAGACAGAGTTCCTCTGTGAAACAGTCCTGGCTGTCCTGGATCTCGCTCTGTAGACCAGGCTCGCCTTGAACTCACAGAGATCCACCTGGCTCTGCCTCCCAAGTGCTAAGATTAAAAGGCGTGCGCCACCGCGCATTGATTGGTTTTATAAATTCTCTCCATCTCTGCAAAGAACTGGGTTTCCCTGACTTTTTTTGGCTGTTTCTGCTCATTCCTTTGTCTTCTTCCCGATGTCGGATTTGGTTTAACTGGGTCTTCTTTGGCCAGTCACCTTTCTGGTTTGCAGTTGTCTGTCTGTCTTTTATATTTACTGACTTATTGATTTTGTGTGGGTGGGGGGCACATGTGAAGCAGAAGACAACTTGTGGGAATCAGTTCTCTCCTTCCACCATGTGAATCCTGGGAATCGAACTCAAGCCATCAGGCTTGGCTGCAAGCACCTTTACTCACTGAGCCATCTCACTGGCCTCCCTTTCTGGTTTTTTTTTTTAACTCTAATAGTATAAACTATTTATGCTATGATATGATAATATGCTATGCTATTTATGTTATACACTGACTCAGCTATATCCTCTTTTTTATGTTTTATTTTCACTCAAAACTATTTTCTGCTGAGTGTGGTGGCACGAACCTTTAGTCCCAGCACTCCAGAGGCAATGGCAGGTGGATCTCTGTGAGGTCTAGGCCAGCCTGGTCTGCATAGTAGTTCTGAGTTGCCAGAGATACACAGTTAGACTCTGTTTCAAAAACAAAGCAAAAATCCCCCTATTTCCTCGTTCCCCAGTCATTAGAGATCAGTGGCTAAAAGTTGGTCCCTAAATCACATCCGCCTGAGTTCAAGGCTTATCTCCAGCTCCTCTTAGCTGTGTGACCCTGGCCAATTTTCTTAACTGCTCTGGGCCCCAGCTCTTTCATCTGTGAGTAGGAGAAATAACAGTCTACTTTGCTCTACCATCCCCCAAAATTGTTAAAAAAAAAAAAAAAACAAACAACCCATAAAACTTTCCCCTGCTCAGGACTGCCTCTTCCCACCTGGAGTAGTGATGGAGACCTGGATCCCTTTGTCAGCCAATCCACTGTCCCCTAGGGCATTGCTGGCCAGCAGCCAGATTCTGTATCGTGTAGAAGGCTTCAGTCCAGTCAGTGTGAAGGTGGTGGCCTGGGGTGGCAGGACATCTACGTAGAGGAATCCTGGGGTCTCCAGGGCCTCGTACCTGCGTGGCGAGAACAGCCGGTCCAGCCGAGTGTCTCTCTGCACTGTCTGGCCCACTTCAGCTGCCTCGGCGGAGGCCCCACCTGATTTGGAACCGCTGAGGCAGACCCCCATCAAAGCCAGGTTTCCACTCCAGCCCTACCGAGTGAGGGGTCGTGCTTACAACCTTCAGTCCCAGAGGAGGGTCAGGGCGGCCTTGGGAGACAAGGGAAGGGATTGTTAGGGGGTACAAAAGGGGTCTAGGAGTTTCCTTCCAGGGTCTCCTAAGAACGATTTGGATCAGATGGCTGCTGTGCTCACTAAGTTCACCTCCAGGGGGCTGGGGAGATGCCTCAGTGGTTAACAGCACTGGTTACTCTTCCAGAGGATCAAGGTTTAGTTCCCACACCCACATCCAGCCTCTTCTGGCATGCAGGTGTGCACGTAGACAGAGCACTCATACATTAAAAAATACGTAAATAAATCTAAAAAAGTTTTAAATCAGTTGGGCCAGTGAGATGGCCCAGTAGGTAAAGCTGCTTATTATCAAGGTTGGTGACCCAAGTTCCACCCGTGGAACCCTCATGGTGACAGAAGAGGACTGATTCCCACAAGTTGTTCCCACACACATGCACACACAAAAATAAATACATAGAATATAATAAAAAATTGTTTGAAGCCGGGTATGGTAACACACCTTAAATCCCAGCACTGGGGAGACAGAGGCAGGCATATCTCTGTGAGTTCAAGGCCAGCCAGGACCACATAGCTTCCTATGTTTCAAACAACCGAGTAAGGAGGGAAGAAACCGCTGTGGCAAGGACTGCCCTCCCCGAGCACTTCGGGGGAAGCAACACTTGGGGTGTTCAGATTCAGTGTTCAAGGTGAACGTTCAAAAAGTTTTATTTATTTTAATTCTCTGTGTGTGGGTTGTGTATGCATGTATGTCTGTGAGCTGCTTGTGTGCCAGGTACCCGTGGAGTCACAGGGGGTTGTCACTCAGTGTGAAGTTGGAGAGAAGCCAGTGAGGCACACATCTAGTATCTGCACAGTCATTAGAGAGAAAGAGGGGCATTCCCAGGCTAAGGTGTAGCTCAGTGATAAGGAACTTACCCCACAGACTCAAGGCCTGGATCTGACATCCTGCGACACCCCCCGCCCCAACTACCACCAAACAAAACAAACCAGCCAGGCCTGCTGACTCTCAGCTGTAATCCCAGCCCTTTGGAGGTGAAGGCAGAAGGATTGCCATTTTGAGGAAGGGTTGACTACATAGCAAGCCTGAGGTTAGCCTGGGCTACGTAGCAAGCCTGAGGTTAATCTGAGTTATATAGCAAGACCTTGTTCCAACAAAACAAAACTCCATTCTCGTGCATAAACACCTCCCAGAGATCAGAAACACTTCCTGGTTCTGGTCAACCAGGAAATTGGCAAAGAGCAGTCCCCAACATCCTCCCAGCGGCTCCCACCGTACTGATGCTGACGAGCTGGATGTTGGTGTGGTCTGAACCGAGGGCATTGGTGGCTGTGCATGTGAAGAGGGCGTAGTCCTGGGCTGCGGACACATTAGCAATGGTCAAGAGGCTGCTGTGGACAACACCTTGGTGGTACTTGTGCTCTGTGTACCTGAAGAGAGGATGTGGCGGGGCTCAGAAGAAAAACCAGGGCTGGGTGGCCGGAGCTGGGGTAACACTTGGCCATACCCAGGTTCACCTGGGATCTTGGAGATCCAGAGGGACCCCATTTTTGGTCCAAGTGAAGTCAACGTTGGGGACACCTCGGGCCCGGCAGTGGAGGGTCGCTGAGCTGGTGCTGTCCCCAGCCGCAGCCACTTTGGTTAGGGGAGTTGGGTGATCCACCTGGGGGGCAACTAGGACAGGCTGAACGGTCAATATGGGGAGTGCGGAAGGCAGCATGAGAGAGCGTGGGTTATGGGCAGACCTTGAAGGTACCCACATCTCACAACAAGACGGACAAGCCCTCTTGCTGCTGGTGCCACCCCATTGTCCACAATACACTGGTAAGCACCAGCCTGTGACAGTTTGGCCTGGTGAATCCGCAGACGCCCAGTGGATCCCTTTGACATCTTCTCCATGTCATCGAGGCTCAGATCCTCCTCATCTTCCCCCTGGCATCCCAAGACACAGGAGCTTGTCCCCAGTGTGTCCTCAGGTCATCCCCCAAACTGTATTCCACCAGCAGCTTCGCTCTCCCAACTACAGCCCCCTGCACAAAGTCAGTGAGGTGGAGATGTTTCTCGTCACCCACACAACCATTGATCTAGTCCGTCCGTTCATCCACCAGTCCAGCCAATCATCCATCCATACATTTGTCTAAACACTCATCACGCTTGGGACCCTCTGCAGACAGGGTGCAGCTTAGTGCAAAAGCATTTGCTTGGCATGCTCAAAGCCCTGGATTCAGTCTCAAGCACTAAAAAATAAACTGACTGGGCTGCAGATGGTGGTTTACCTGCACTTGGGAGAGAGAGGCAAGAGAATCCCAAGTTCAGAGCCAACCCAGGCTACATCGTAAGTTCTAGGACAGCCTAGACTACATATCGAGACCCTCTCTCAAATATATATGTCCTAGAACGGTAGCTCAGGCCTGTCGTCCTGGCACTTAAAGGCTGGAGGCAGGAAGGTCAGGAGCAATTCAATTCTTTGAGGACAGCCTCAGCTACATAGCATGCTTGAGGCCAACATGGGTTACATGACCAGTGGTTCTCCATCTGTGGGTCACATATCATCCTGCATGTCAGATATTTACATTACGATTCATAACCGTAACAAAATGACAGTTATGAAGTAGCAAGGGAATGATTTTATGGTTGGGGGTCAGCACAGCATGAGGAACTGTACTAAAGGGCCGTAGCATTAGGAAGGTTGATCAAACCTCGTCTCAAAAACAATGGACCTTGAAGACAACTCAGTGGGTAAAGACACCCGGGCTGAGCATAATCATGTGAATTGCTTCCTGGGACCCAGTCGTTAGGAGACAACTGATTCTCACACTTATCTTCTGACCTTCCCACACATACTATAGCACGTATGCACTATACATACACACAATAAATAAATTTAGAACAGCAACAACAAAATGTACAAACAAAAACCAAAATCTGCCTACCCATTCATTTATCTTTCCATCCACTCAGTTCAACAGACCATTTGCTTTTTTTCTTTTACAATTTCAAACATTCTTTATTCTTAATTGTGGGTATGCATGTATGATGTGTGTGTGTGTGAGCACGGGCACGTGTGTGCAGCAGCGTGCACGTGAATTACTTCTGAGGATCAGTTCCCTCTGTCTGCCGTGGGGTCTGGGGTTGAACCCATCGTCATGCCCGCAGAGCTGGTGCCACCTCATCCGCCCTGTGGGCCTGTTTGCCGTCCTTCCACCTCGCAGTGCTCATCCATGACATTTTTCACTCGCCTGTGTCCACATTCATAAACACGTGCACCTGCCTACTCATGCCCCGCCCCACTGGCCTTTCTCTCGGGGAAGCCTTCGTTCTTCTAGACTTGTTCCCACTCACCTCCTTTCTAACTCTACTTATCCACTCTTTTGTCTCGATCAAGCACGGGACCACTCATCCTCCTATCCATCCATTCTCTCACTCACCCACCCACTTTTGTTCATACACACACACACACACACACACACACACACACACACTCAACAAAACCAGCTCTTGAAAGATATCCTAATCAGCATAGTCACACATGGCTTCCCACTCTTGGCATCCACTCCCAAGGCACTCATAGCCTTGGAAGAGGCTCCCTCTTCCTAGCCCCACCTCCGCCCACCAAAGGCAAGGTACTTACCAGTCTCTCCCAGCTGAACATCTCTGGGAGGATGGGATTGGCATCAACGGTGCAGACGATGTCCACGGAACCCCCAACATTTACCTCAGTGGGGTCCTGGAGGGCACGGATGGTGGGAGCATCTAGTGGGAGACAGGGGCTTGGAGAAGGCGCTTAGGCCCTGACAGGAGGGGGTCACCAGGAGGAGGGTGTCTTAGAGGAGCGGCATGGAGGTGGGTACAATTTACCCTTTATGGAGGGGGATTCTCCGAGCGGTGAGGCGATCCTCACCCTCGTTGTACTCTGTATTATTAGAGTCTGGTGTGTGTGTGTGTGTGTGTGTGTGTGTGTGTGTGTGTGTGTGTGTGTGTGTTGGAGTTGGGGGTGTACCAGAACAGTGTTAGAGTGGGGTTCAAGAGAACTTGGTTTTCTGGATGGAGGAGATCTCAAGTAAGAAGCCCCCTCTCTATGCAGATTCCACCTGGGGTCTCCCTAGCCATCAAAGCAAGAGGTTTCCGAAGGGAGGGCCCTGGGGTGGGTAGTTATCCCTGGTTGGGCGGTCCTTTCACGAGGAGGAGGAGACTCCAGGATGAGCAAGGCCCCTTGAGTGGGCGTGATTTCTACAGTAAAACTAGCTCCTCCCAAAACCCTCTCTTCCTAGGTTTATGAGGGAGCTCACAATGCACGTCCAGCTTCAACAGCGCCTCGGCGGTGCCCTCTGAATTCTGGCAGTGAAGCTGATAGATGCCACCATCAGCTCGGGTCACATTCCACAGCTGCAGAGCTCCGCCAGACAGGATGCGATGCCGGGGACCGCCAGCTGGGGAAGGCCAGCGTAAGGAGTTTGGAAAGCTCGCCCATCCCCCTGAATCTGCACCCTTCTCCAGGTCCACACCCTACCTGGGCTGAGGCGGTAGCCCCGGAAGGTCCAGTTGAAAGCCTCCGGGGCGGGGTTAGCAGACACGGACACAGGCAGCAGCGCCTGGCCTTGCTCCACCGCGGTCACTGCCAGCACTTGCTCCCCCAGGAACTCTGGAGGGTCTTCAGAGGGGGCGCCCCAGGAAGTCAAGAGTGTTGGTAAAGTTGGGTTCCAGAGAGAGTTAAGGCATGAGTTCAGGGTTAAAGGTAGGGTCGTGGCTAGGACTAAGGCAGTGGACAGGGTAAGTGTTATAGCTGAGATCTGAGACAAGGCTCTGGATAGAAGCTAAAACCTGGCGAGATGGCTCAGCGGGAAAGGGAGGTTACTGAAAGACCCGAGGGCCTGAGTTCAATACCCGGGAACTCCGTGGATGGAGGCGAGAACCAGCTTCCTTAAGTTCCTCCACCCCCTCGCCGTTGCACGGGCAATCGGGAACACACACACAGCAATCAAATAAAATTTAAAACAAAACAAAACCAAAAACAAACAAAACCCAAGCACGCCTTTAATCCCAGCACTTGGGGGCAGAGACAGACGAATCTCTGTGAGTCCCAGGCCAGCCAGAGCTACACAGTGAGGCCCTGTCTCAAAAACAAAAAACAAACAAACAAAAAAACCAAACCAAACCAACCAAACAAACAAACAACAACAGCAAAAATGTGCAGAGCCACATGGTAGTTCAAGCCTGCAATCCCAGTACTCCTGAGGCAGAGGCAGAGGCAGGAGGATTGTGGCAAGTTCATGGCCTTCCTGTTCCAGGTCAGCCAGGACTACATAGTAAGAAATTTAAAAATTGACAAGTGAAGAGCCAGTTTTGCAAAAAAGGATGGAGAGCGTGGGTTGGAGCTGGTACCAGCCTGAGGTCAGGATGAAGGCTAGGAAAGCTACAGACTCTGGCTAGCGGTAAGACTCCTTTAGGGGCAGTTTGCAAGGTATCCGGGCGGGAGGGGCGGTGCCGGGCCTGCGCACTTACACAGAACGTTGAGGCTGTAGAAGGAGCTCACAGTTTCGTGAAGTGCCGCGCTGTGAGCCCGACAGGTCACCCGGTGGCCGTGGTCTCTGGATGACACGCGAAGGAAAACACTCCTGGATGCAGCGGAGCCTTTGAACGGGGCGCTCTGGGGTGGTGCGGCCACGTCTTCCAGCCTGTGCAAGTTTTGCAAGTCGGGTGAGGACCCGGCTGGTTCAGAGGTGAGAACAAGGTCCTTGGACAGTAGCTTAAGGAACAGAGGGGGCAGGTTGGGAGGGTGAGAGGACGGAACCCAGACGGGGACGTCCTGTAAGCTCACCTCTCTCCCTCCTTGTCCCAAGACAAGTTGACTGGGGGGTTGCTGCTGATGCTGACGCAGGTCAGGTTCAAGGCATCGCCCGGGCGCAGAGCGGATGAGTTGGCCAGGATGGTCAGGTTGGTTGGGGGGACTTAGTGGATTAGAGATTCAGAGGTTGAGGAGCAGGGGCTACAAGTCTATACCGCTCCCTCCGCAACACTCCCCACCCGCCCGGCCTGTGCGCTCACACTGCACCACCAACTGCCTGGACGCGCTGAGCTGACCGGCCTTGCATGAGAACTTGGCTTGATTGTCTGAGGGTCCTATGACCAGCACCAGCTCGCGGGAGAACGTGCTGCCAGACTTCTCCAGACTGCCCAGCTGCACACGCCGCCGGGGCTCCTGGGGCTGCCGAGGCTCGCTCACCGTGCGTGAGTCCTGAGGACCCAAACAGGGTGGGTGGCCAGCCCAGACAGGGCCTTTGTGTGATAAAGGCCCCCTCAAGAGCCAGCACCCCACTACCTTGAAGGAGTGAGGACTGGAATTGAGTACCTCCAGTCCTAGTCTCTCCTGCCTGCCTTGATGGTTTGGGGACCCTGACGCCTGTTGTGCACCCCCCCATCCCCGACCTCACCAGCCCTCTGCCTGCTACAAGGCCCCACACCCCCAAACCCACAAATGTGATATTTACAGAACACTGCGAGCCAGGAAACTCCCTTGAAATTCCCAGACCCAGTACAGGACTCTCACTTTTCTTTGCCTCTGTTGTTGTTTTGCCTTGGTTTACTTGAGACAGCTCTCGTGTAGCCAAGGTTGACCTCCAAGGCAGCTGAGGAGGACCTTGCACTCCCTATCCTCCTCCGGCCTTCACCTCCCAAGTGCTAGGATAACAAGTGAGCCACCTCACCCTGACAGCTGTTTTCTTAAACAGCTCTTGGCCTGGGAGATGGCTCAGCAGTTAAGAACGCTGGCTGCTGTCCAGAGGACCTGGGTTCAATTCCCACCACCCATATGGCAGCTTACAGCCAGTTCCGGTGGATCTGAGCCCTCTTCTGACCAGGCATGAATGTGGTTCACAGACATACATGCAAGCAAAATACTCACTACAAGTAATAAATAAAACTTAAAACTTTCAGAAACTTCCCACTCCCTGACCTTTTCCCTAATTCCAATATTACCCCTTAGATCCCCCGCCCTCCCTCCCTCCCTCTCTCCCTCCTTCTCTCTCTTTCTCACTTCATTGCTCTCTCTTCCCTTCTTCCTTATTTTCTTTAATATTAATTTTAATATGAGTCAATTTTCTTTAATATGAATGGAATGATAATTGCTTTATCTCTAGAATTTTAATTCAAAATTCCTTCTTTCGTCTTGGAAATATTTTTCCAGATTTTCTGGAATGTCCTTGGGGTTTAATTAATTCTCATGGCATTTGTGTCTTTTCAGAATCTCTAACATTTTCCAAGAAATGTGGGTTTCTCCATGTTCCGAGGGAGTGGAGGGGACAAGAGTATCAAATGTGTAGGGCTGGACAGGATTGGTAGTGCACGCCTTTAATCCAGGCAGAGGCAAGCAGATCTTTGTGAGTTTGAGGCCAGCCTGGTCTACATAGTGAGTTCTAGGCTAGCCAGGGCTACATAATATCTTGTCTTAGGAAAGAAAATAGAGGCTAAGGAGATAGCTCAGTCAGTAAAGTGTGTGTGCTTGCTCTTGCACACACCTGTGGTTCATGCTACACCTGCGCACGCGCACGCGCGCGCACACACACACACACGAGCAAAAGAAAAAAAGAAAAACAGAAAAAAAGAAGACAAGAAGGAAGGGAAGAAGGGAGGAAGGAAGGGGGGACTCTTGCTTGGAACCTACCTTAAACCAGGTGAGGGAAGGGTCTGGATTGCCTCCGATGGCCAAACACACCAGCCTTACCCGAGTCCCAGTCCGGATGTACTGCCCCTCTGGGGGTCCCTCAATCCACAGCTTCTGGGCAGGGTCTAGTGAGAGATGGGGAAAGAAAAGACATTTTTGTCTGGGCTGGAGCCTCAGGATGACATCTGTGAAGCCTGCGGACTCTCTGGGCTCTAGGCAAAGGCTCACATTTCACGTTCAAGATGAGTGATTTCTTGAAGGTGTCCTTGCTAAAGGCATCGCTGAAGGCTTCACATGTGAGGGACAAGCCATTGTCTTCCCTCCGCACCAAGAGTGTCAGATTGGACATAGAGATGTGGCCACCATGCAGGCCCTAGCAAGGAGCGAACTTCAGATTTAGGGACTGAGAAGCCCCCACCCATGGTAGCAGAGGCCCGGGTCCAGCAGACCCCAAACATTCCCACCCTCCTCCATGAGACCCAGGAGTTGGGGCCTCAGTCTGGACTCTTCAGGGTCCAGGCCCTCAAGGGATGCCAAAGCATGATCTTCCACATCCTCACATCCATGACTGTCTCATCAGTGGGCAGCAGCTGCCGTCCACCCAGCCACCATCGCAGCAGGACCCGGGGGCGACTGGACTTGGTAAGGCAGCAGAGGGTCACATTCTTGTTCTCAGACTGCGATGCAGATCCCAGGATGGTGATGGCGCTCGGGGGAACTGAATGACAGAGTACAAGGAAAGATGGGAGTGCAGGCTGGGGTCTTCACAGACCAACCCAGACAGATGGGGTGGGGCCTGATGACCAGGCCTTTGGCATCAGATAGGCCTGCCGTGAAGGTACAGAGAGTTCTCTGGTTATGAACTGAGGTGCAGAGCTGGACTCACAGGTGACCTGCAGTGTGATGCTTCGCTCCTGGGTCCCTGCAGATACGCTGTTGTAGGACAGACAGCTGAGCCGAGCTCCATGGTCTTCAGCGCGCACAGTCATCACCAGCACACTGTGGGCCACTGCCTGGGCATGCTCTGTGCCCCAGGCTATGGACACTGGTTCACCATTCTGAACACAGAAGCAAGCCTAGTTGTCTCAGTACCAGTTCCTGGTCCCCGTCCTTTCTCCATCCCTCATGTCAGCCTCCACCCTCACCTTCAGCCACTGCAGGGTAGCAGGAGGATTTCCACCTCGGGCCATGCAGGGCAGCTCCAGGTTCTGCCCTGCCTGGACATGCCCCTCATCCAAACCTGGCCAATTAATGACAGGAGGTCCTGGGGGAACTGAAGAGCAGAGACCACTCAGTGGGCCTGGGAAGCCCATCTATTCTCTCTGGGTCCCATAACCTGCTTTTAATTTCCTCTTGTGGGCAAGGGAGATGGAGCAGGAGGTAAGGATATTTGCCAACGTGCCCAAGGACCTGACTTCAGTTCCTGGAACCTACATGATGGAAGGAGAGAACTAACTCCTGAAAGATGTTCTCTGACTTCTCCACTTGACATGTGTATACACACACACACACACACACACACACACACACACACACACACACACGTGTGCGCACGCACAATAATGACAACAATAATAATAAAATCTTAAAATTCTCTTGACTGTCTGCTTTTGTTTCCAGTGCTGGGTTTGGGATCTGGGTCCTTGCATATCTGGGGCCGGATTCTTCCATTGAGCTGCATTGCCCAGCCCTCAGCAGCCCGAGCTGTCCTTATACTCCTTAAGCTTTTCACATCCCAGGTGCTGGGATTATAGGCACATGACACCATGGCTAGTGGCAATGCCTGAACTTTCTGCCATTCTTGAATCCCCCGTGCTCCCAAATCCTCCTGGGATGCCCATCCTCCACGCCCACAACTCCTCCCACCCTTCACTTGCACAGAATATTCATGGTGAATGAAGCCTTGATGGGAGCTTCCATAGCTGGGCTGGACCCCTCACAGACGAGTAACTGTCCATTATCCGAGCTCTGGGGTGTCACCCTGGAAACAGAGGTTCCTGGAATCAGTCATCGCCTGAAATTTAGGGAGCCAGGATACAGAGGAGGGCATCCCAAATCCCCGCATTTATCCTAGTCTGCATACTGATTTATTCTAAGATCCGGACTCCCCTGGGAGAGATTTGGAGGTTCAACAATGAGAATAGGAGTGCCCAAGGTCTTCACCTGGCTTAAATGTTTTTGCTCAATACCTACAAACTGAGGTTACCATCAAGAAGTTTTGGGAGTCAGGGCGAAGCATTGGGTCCCAGGTATCCCTACAACTTGTTCCCATACTTGCGTCCTTGGGTCCTGGACCTCGTGTGGGGTAACCTGGAGGTCAGGGTACAGGGAGAAAACCTCAGCTTTCTCACCTGACTTCAGCCTCTGTGATGAAGAGCTTCTCCTCAGACCCATCGTTCACATTATAGGAGACGTCCAGTACAGTTTGTCCACCTTGGGGCCACAAGAAAGCTGAGTCGAGAGGTGCTGGGTTTTTCTCCAAGGCAGATCCAGCAGCATGCCCTGGAAGTCCTCAGGGAGGACACAGCACCCCTCCCCCGTATTGGCTTTGGAGGACAAGAAGCTGCAGTGCAAGTTCTGTCCTCCCACACACTCAGGACCCCCTGAGTTCTAGGGTTCTCAGGGCTGCATCATGGGCCTCTCTTCCTCCTCACCCCACCCCATCTGCAGCGTCTTACTCCTGCATGGCCATTGGCACTCACAGCTCACCTGAGTGCTGACACACTCTCTCTACCCCAGGTCAGCAGTCTTGCATTCTCATGGGTGCCTCCCCACAGTATCCCTTTCTTGTCCCGCACATCCATGTTGTCCTCATTACCTGGGACGGTACTCATGGATGACATATTTTGGGGGCCCCTAGGAACACCTCCTTCCTACCCACACTCACTCTGGATGAAGGTGATGTCAGGTGCTGGTTTGGCATCCCCAGACACACAGGTGACCACATACTCCTGCCCAGCTACCCAGGTGACTGTGCTTCCTGCCTCAGGCGTCAACTGAAGCACTTTGGGGGGTACTGGAGAAAGGGTTTGGGGTTAGCCACTGCTAAGAGGTATATGTGAAGGTTTTGGGCAAGAGTTCAGGAAATGAGACCACCCAGGGCCCAAGGTGGAGGGTCACAGGAGCTTGGGCTTCTGGGTGGGAGGGAAGAAAAGGGCCCTAAAGGGGAGTCTCTCACTCATACCTAGGATGGAGAGGATTACTTTGGGAGACACGAACTCGGGACCCATCTCTGAGCGGCTAACTTGACATTCATACTCTGCATCGTCACTGAGGTCACAGGCTTCAATAAGCAGGTGGAATTCCCCTGGAGATGGAGCCCCGAAGGTCAGGGCCACAGCCTCTGCTGGAGGCTCAAGATCTCAGGCTCTGATCTCTCACCTTTAGCAGGATCTCCTTCCAGGCTGTACCTTGGGAAGCCTGGGATCCTGGGGTTTGGACCCAGAAGGAGCCCGTCCTTAGCCCACTGCACCACACTGCCAGGGGCTCTGACCCCACACGGCAGCTTAACTCTTGTCCCTTCCACTGCAGTTAGGTTTTCAGACAGAGTCCAAAAGCCCCGAGGAACGGAGGCAGGGACTGATGACTGGGCCAGGCCTGGGGACACAGAGGAGTGACACTAGGAGACAAAGGTGGCACTTGAGGGCCACAGGGCAGTACAAGGCCAGCCTTCCACTCACCTGTGGTCAGCAGTCCCATGAGCAGCAGGGGAGTCAAGCTGGAAGTCCTGTGTGTTAGGTTCACCCCAGGGCCTCTGATGGTGACTTCCTTAGTGCCCATCGCCAGCCACTTGTTTGTTGTCTTGTCTGAGCCTCTCTCTCTGTGTTCCCTGCTTCTCTCGCTGTCTCTCTCTGTCTCTCTCCGTCTCCCCGTCTCTGTCTCTCCCCTGTCTCTGTCTCTCTGTCTCTCTGTCTCTCTCTGTCTCTGTCTCTGACTGTCCTGGACTTTCTGTCTCAGAATCTCCTTTCTGCCCCAAGCTTGCCCTGTTAAAGGTTCTTTCTCTGAGTTCCAACCCCAAGCACTCAAAAACGCATCATTTCCCTCTCTTTTTCTCCTCTGACAGTCTCTGCTTCTCTTTATCTGTTACCATCTCCCTCTCACCCTCTCACAGGCACTCAAACAGGACTGGCTGCTCATTGCTACTTGGGGTCCTGCGAGCTCATGAACCCAGAAAGCCAAAGCAGTCAGTCACAGCGTGGAGCTGCCAGAGCCGTTTCTTGGACCCAGTGTGAACGCACCCTGCCACTTCCCCCAAGTCCTTCCTGAGTCTGCCGAGCCTCTGCTCAGCCGAGCAATGAAATCCCCTGTCAGCACATGCCAGGAACATTCTTTGGTGCCTCCCGAGCTCCAGTGACCCCCAAGGCCTTGCCTGGGAGAGCAGGTATGACCAGAGCCACCTCCCAGCTCAGGATGGGGGGCACATCTGGGCCTGTGTGGGTGGGAAGGACACCCCCACTCCCGACGCTGCAGCCATCCCAGACTGTGGCAAGTCCCTTCTTTCCCTCGGTGACATCAGACACTTCTGCTGGTGAAAGTGCAAGAGTGTGTTTGAAACCACGAGACTGTGGGAGAGAGGAAGCCAACTATGTGCATGTGGGTGTGAGAGTGTGGGTGTTCCAGGGAAGGAGAGGGTGGATTTCCATCTATGAACATTTTTGGAATGTCTAGTACTGGGACAGGTGGTAGGACTGTGTCCACAGACCGCGGTGTGTGCAAATCTGGTGAGCTTGGACACAGTTAAACACAGAGTGGGGGTCTCTGGGAGCTGGAACATCTGAGTCCCAAGGCTGTGTGAGGGTCCTGTTCTAACTCCATCCCTCCTTTCTCTGTGTGTCTCTCCAGCCAAGGTGATTTATCTTCTTATTCTTCTCCATCTCTTTGATTCCCTCTCCTCCTCCTTCCCCCTCCTCCTCTCTCCCCCCCTTCTCATTTCTGTCACTCCTACTGCCCTCCCCCCCTGTCACTCAGTAACAGGAACTCAATGTATACAGTGTGCAGTCAGCCTATCTCTGTGCCTTTCTTATGCAGTTCCCTGGCTCTAGGCCTGATTCTGATCCTTGAATTTTAGAACCGTATGTTGGCTGGCCTGCCTTCCCAACCCGGGTGCACAGCTGCATCCGCCAGGGATAAGCCCCTTCTGCCTGCTTATCTCCTGAAGGAATTGCAACTGTTCCAATCCCCCACCCCTACCCCTACAAACCTCCTACCCCACCACGGCTCCCCCCGCCCCCCCAGCAGCTATCTACCAAGGCTGAGCCCTCTGGTCTTGCTCTCCCACCCATCCCCATTATTGATTCATTACTCTCCTTCCTCATTCCCTTCTCTAACCCCTCAACACCTCCTGGGAGACGGATTGCATACAGACCTAACTGAGGAAGGGTCTGCCACAGGGCCTTTACCAGATGGTACCCTTGGAGGCCAAGGTGTAGCGCTGTCAGTTGCTGGAACCTTTAATTAGTACACACCTTCTACACTCAACCTTGGCTGTTTTCCTTCTCCGAACGCTCTGGGGACTCCAGGCTCTCCATTTTTCCATGCCGGTGGCCCCAGAGTGCCAGGAAAGGGAAGCTATATCAGGTGTCTGGAAAAACAGCCTCATCACCTGACTTCCTCCCCGAGACTCAGGAGTCCGGGGCTCAAGCCTGTCCTATTTCAAAACACAGAAGCCGGGAGTCCAGATTCCCCCAGAGCTGGATCCCTAGGACCTTCTTTTCCAGCCCCCCAGCCCCCTCCCCGACACTCCTATAGGACCCAGCACAGCTGTTTCTTCTGTTGGTTTTCCAATCCTCCTGGGCCAGTGGGGGTGAGTGAGAATGAGATTTGTTGTTAAATCCAGTAGCTCTAAGACTTAAGACCAGATATCCCGAACCTGCCCAACTGCGCCATACTGCAGATTGCAAGGTCCACCAGCTTCTCAGCCAGCAGAGATCTGAACCACTCTCTCCCTGGAAGGCCAACCCTCTGACATTTAGACACACCAGTCTGAGCCCTCAATGCCATTTAATTCTGATAGGTCCAGGAATGTCAGACCTGGGATCTCAGCCTCCCCCCGGCCCCAGCGCGCCCCTTTAGTAATCTCAGGGCCCCTCCCACCTGCTCTGCCAGCTGCGCAGCGTGGGAACGCCCCAGCTGGGATGCACGGGAGCTGTCAGGACAAGCTGTGCGGTTCCCAGCCTCCCTGCCTGCCAGAGCCAGAGCACCGCCGCCTCCCAGCCGTCGCCCAGCAACCACTCTGAGGGGCCCGGGACGGCTAGGCTGAGAGAGGGGATGGCTGGGTACTGCTGAGTTCTGGGAAAAGAGGAACTCGGGGGGCGGGGCTGGATTCCTACATCTTAGGGTGTGTCAGGCTTGTAGCGATAACAAGGCAGCGCGGGGGTGGGGTGGGTATTTGGGGAAGTGGGGAGCTGAATCCCTCTTTTCTCATGGTTCCCAAGTAGTCCTTCAACACCTGAGTGCCCTCTCCTCGACCCGCAGGCCCACGGGAGCCTGGGCCCGCCTCCCCGGGGCACGGAAACTGGCGAAGTCCCAGGGGTTCCCATTTATAGCTCGGTTTCCACTCAGCTCAGTCCCTCCTGAGTCCCGGCTGAGCAAGTTTCTTCCACTCTCTTCTCTCCTCCTCCTCCTCGTGCCCGCCTCCCCTTCAGCCTCAGTAGGGCGCAGTGTCCAACTCGAACAGGGCCCCCTCCTTGGACCCAGGTGTTCCAGCTCTCAGACCCCCTGATAACACAGGGGCGCCCTCCCGCTGCGCGAACCGCGAGCCGGAGCGCCCACAGTCTCGGCACGGGAGTTTCTCAATGGGAAGAGGGCGGGTATCCAGAGGGCGGGGCGAGTAGGATCCCGCCCTCCCGCGGGTCTCTGGCAGACCCAGGGCGTGCAACCGGCGAGCGGTGTAGAGCATCAAAGGCTGAGGATGAGCCAGATTTCCGGGACTCCAAGCCAGACATAGAATCTTCCAGCCTGGGGTGGGGAGAGTGGGGTGCAGAGAGGGGTTCCAGTCCAGCGTGGTGAGAGGCGTGCTGTCGAGGAAGAAGTTGGAGGGGACCAGTGCAGCCCTAAGTCTGCGGGATCTTGGGGTACACACACTCGGAATGCTGGGTCACGCCCTCCTCGCCCTCCTCTGTTGCTTCAGAGGATTTGCAGGTACCCCCGGAGGGAGCAGGGAGGGTTATCTGTCCGCCTTTATTGGGAAAAGTAGCTAAGGGCGCCTACTCCTGAGTGTGAGAGATTAGAAGCCAGGGCTTCTAATCTGAGGAAAGAGGGCTTTGGAGACTGGACCCCCTGGGTCTTGCATAAAAGGATTCTTGAACTAAGCACAGCTGTACTGTCCCCTCTTCTCCTAGGCCCATCGCCCCATTTCCTGCAACAGCCAGAGGACTTGGTGGTGTTGCTGGGGGAGGAAGCCCGGCTACCCTGTGCTCTGGGCGCTTACCGCGGGCTCGTGCAGTGGACTAAGGATGGGCTGGCTCTAGGGGGCGAAAGAGACCTTCCAGGTGAGTCTGGTCTCTACTCTGGGAAGGGCTGGCAACATGGCAGGGGGGCTGGGCGTGGGCTGCATCTGACAGTTTCAACTTTGGAGATTGGTGGCCTCCCAGTAAATATTTGGGAACCCCGAGTTTTAAAATGATTTTTTTTTTTTGCGGGGGATGTGATTTCTTGTGTTTAGGGACTATCATTTTTATTCTAAAACATCATATAAATGCATAGATAGTTTACCAATAATTGCAGTCATGTAATTAATGCAAGGCTATTGTGAGCTCTTCAGAAGCCCCGCCCCCTTTAACTTTCCTCTGTGGTGGGTGAAAGGTAGTGCTTTATCTAATTTTTTTTCTTGGTTATTTGTTTTGTTTCCTTCTTTGAGTTGGGATCTCCCTCTGTAGCCCAGGCTGGCTTCAAACTCCAGATCCTCCTGCCTCAGCCTTTTGAGTGCTGGAATCACAAGCATGCACCACCCACACCTGGCTTAAGCTAACTTCGATGGGAATTGTTTTCTTGTACTCCTTTCTGACTTTTTCACTCCCAAATTTGTGGCGACTATAAATTGGCAGGAGGCTTAGAATCTCTCTGGACCCAGCTTTTCCCCCTAGCTTTTTGTTTTGTTTTGTTTTTGTTTTTGTTTATTTGTTGTTGTTGTTGAGACAGTGTCTCACTATGTAGTCCTGGCCAGCCTAAATTCCCTATGCAGATCAGGATGGCCTCGAATTCATAGAGATGTCTGCCTCATGCTCCCGAGTGCTGGGATTTGAAGGTGTGCACCACCACACCTGCCCCCAGCCCGGATGTGTTAATGGTGTTTTAGCATGGAATGTGTGGTTCTTACTCTGCTCCCTGGGGTGGGATTCTGGAGATGGAGACTTGAGGCCAGGAGTTCAGAATTATATATTGTCTCTTCCGTCTTCAGGGTGGTCCCGGTACTGGATATCAGGGAATGCAGCCAGTGGCCAGCACGACCTCCACATTAAGCCTGTGGAACTGGAAGATGAAGCAACGTATGAGTGCCAGGCTTCGCAAGCGGGCCTCCGATCACGGCCTGCACAGCTGCGTGTGATGGGTGAGGACCCAGCCCGTTGTGCTTTGGGAGCGGGATGGGGGGAGGGGGGAGGGGGGGAAATGGAGGACTACTTGGGAGGTCTAGGAACCCTAGGAGAGTGGTGGGTGGAGCTGAGAGGATCAGAGGCTCTGCTTCCAGGATGCAGTTCTGACCCCAGATCTGCCATGCAGTCCCTCCAGAACCCCCTCAGGTACTAGGTGGCCCCGCAGTGTCTCTGGTTGCTGGAGTTCCTGGGAATCTGACCTGTCGGAGTCGAGGGGATGCCCAACCTGCCCCTGAACTACTGTGGTTCCGAGATGGGATCCGGCTGGATGGGACCGCCTTCCACCAGGTTGGGTCTAAGTCGCTTTGCCATTCTTTGTTCATTCAGTGAGACTCAGGGTCCACTTCGATCACTAAAGGGAGAATGGCAGCCATTCAGGGTTGAAATATGATTCAGGTCAAGAGCCAGACTTCCTGGCTCAGTCATTTGCTAATGTTTGCTCTTGTCTGTGGTGTTTAACTTCTGTCTCTCAGTTTCCTTATCTACACAATGGGAAAATAGTAGCATTACCTCCTAGGATAATATAGAGAATTAAATAAAACATGTGAATGTCTAAAAGTATCCAGTACATTGTAAGCACTACCTGTGTAAGCTATAAATGAAATCATTGCTAATATGTGGTGTGGTAATACACACCTGTAACCCCAGCACTCAGGAGACTGAAGCAGGAGAATCATGAGTTCAAGGCTAGCCTTGGCTCCATAGTGAGACCCTGTCCAAAAAAGAAAAGAAATAATTATTGTCTATCTATCACCTCCAGACCACACTGAAGGACAAGACCACTGGGACAGTGGAAAACACCTTATTCCTGACCCCTTCCAGTCACGATGATGGAGCCACCTTGATCTGCAGAGCCCGGAGCCAGGCCCTGCCCACAGGGAAGGACACAGCCGTTACACTGATCCTGCAGTGTGAGTGCAGGTGGTCCTGGAAAGACCCGGGTGGGCCTGAACTCCTGGGTCTGACCCAGCTGGAGAGGGCAGGAAAAGGACACCCTGGGATACCTGGGGGATCGGTACTGAAAGCCCAGCTCCTTCCTGCCTTACTCTCACAGATCCCCCAGTGGTGACTCTGTCTGCTGAGCCCCAGACTGTGCAGGAGGGAGAGAAGGTGACTTTCCGGTGTCAAGCCACTGCCCAGCCTCCTGTCACCGGTTACAGGTGACCACAAACGCCACTTGTCTCTAGCAGGGTGTGGGATCTTGAGGAGGGATAGGATGGGCTATATTAATATCGCCACTGTCTCCGCAGGTGGGCGAAGGGGGGATCCCCGGTGCTCGGGGCACGTGGGCCAAGGTTGGAGGTCGTAGCAGACGCCACGTTCCTGACAGAGCCGGTGTCCTGCGAGGTCAGCAATGCGGTGGGAAGTGCCAACCGAAGCACCGCGCTGGAAGTGCTGTGTGAGCAGGGGCGGGGCCGTGGGTGGGGCCGAGGTGGGCGTGGTTGTGCTGGACGGCAGGGCTAGAGCAGGTAGCTGGGCGAGGTTTGGCTGGGCCAGATCAACCTCTAAGCGAGGCAGGGGCGGGGTTTGTGGTAGCGGACTTCGGTGGCGGATGTTGCCCGGAGACCTACACTTGTACCTGCTAGTGTTTTGGAGTAGCTAGCGGATCCTGTGTCAGGGGCTCATTCCACCCCACTCCTCTCTCTCCTCCAGATGGACCTATTCTGCAGGCAAAACCAAAGTCCGTGTCCGTGGACGTAGGGAAAGACGCCTCCTTCAGCTGCGCCTGGCGAGGGAACCCACTTCCACGGATTACTTGGACCCGCCTCGGTAGCTCTCAGGTGAAGTCCGATGTGGGACCTGGGACCGTAGTTGGAAGTGGGATGGGATTCCTCCCCGAGTCTTGTCTCTGATGCCCCTTCCCTGTGCCAGGTGCTGAGCTCGGGGCCCACGCTGCATCTTCCATCCGTGGCGCTGGAGGATGCGGGCGACTATGTGTGCAGGGCTGAGCCGCGGCGCTCCGGTCTGGGAGGCGGCACAGCGCAGGCCAGGTTGACAGTGAATGGTGAGAGACCCCAAGGGTCTTGGAGTAGGGGGTGGGCCGAGAGGGCGTGGCCCAGAAGGGAAGCTATAGGCTGTGGGACTGAGGTTTGGAGCTGGAACTGTTGAAGGGGGGGCAGGCCTATTCTAGTCTGTAGAGTGGCGTGGCCTGGTGTTTCAAGGGTGAAAAACCCAGTGACCAGGTCTGACCTCACCCCTTTCAGAACTGATTTTGGGGAGGTCGAGACCTCTGCTTCATGGTGCATAGTTTCCATTCCAGCTCCCCCCGTAGTGACGGCCCCTCACCCTGCGCCAGCCTTCCTGAGGGGCCCTGCTCGCCTCCAGTGTGTGGTGTTTGCTTCTCCTGCCCCGGACTCCGTGGTAAGGAAAAGAACCCTCACCTCTCTGACACACCAGCTGTAATATCCACCCTCCCACACCTGACACTGACATCTCCCACACCCCAGCAGCTCCTCTATGCTTCCCCAGGCTTCTAATTAATTTCCTTTTCTTTTGGCTCCTAGGTTTGGTCTTGGGACGAGGGCTTCCTGGAGGCAGGTTCACTAGGCAGGTTCCTGGTGGAGGCCTTCTCAGCCCCGGAAGTGGAGGGAGGACAGGGCCCAGGTCTTATTTCTGTGCTACACATTTCCGGGACCCAGGAGTCCGACTTCACCAGGGTCTTCAACTGCACTGCAAGGAACCGCCTGGGTGAGGGACGGACACAGGTCCACCTGAGCCGTAGAGGTGAGTTACTGATCCAAAGACCTGAAACCTGGGGATTCCGAATCCCACAAACACAGCGATTCCCAAGACTGAAGCCAGCAAACCATAAGGTTCCCAAATGTAAAGACTCCCCAAACCTAGTGAGTCTCAAAACTATGTCCATGAGATGACTCAGCAGGTAAAGGCACTGGTCACCAAGCCTGATGGCCCCAGTTCAGCCCTCAGAACCCACGTGGAGGAGAGAACCAATACCCAAAAGTTCTTCCCTCACCTCCATTCCTACACTGTAGTGTGCCCCTCCCCACATGCATGTACAAACAGTAACATTTGAAATGTAATAAAAAAGTATGAATTTCTTGAATCACAAGACCCAAGATCAATAAATTCTCTCAAATACAGAGCCCTAAGTGGAAAGGCCATTCCATACTAGGAACCCACAAATCTGGGAAATTGGAAAATAGAAGACTCTCAAGGTTTTTTTTTTTAGATTTATTTGTTACATATATGGTGTTTTGTCTGCATGTATGCCTGCAGGCCAGAAGAGGGCGCCAGATCTCATTACAGATGGTTGTGAGCCACCATGTGGTTGCTGGGAATTAAACTTAGGTCCTCTGGAAGAGCAGCCCGTGCTCTTAACCTCTGAGCCATCTCTCCAGTCCCCACTCTCAAGTTCTAAGCAACCCTAAAGTTAGGGTGCTTACTTACATTTATTTATTTATTTGTTTGTTTGTTTGTTTATGGAGGGGCATACTCCTGACACAGTGCATATGTAGAAGTCAGAAGACAACTCTGTAGGAGTCAGTTCTCTCCTTCCATCTTGTGGGTCCACAGGATTGAACTCGGGCCTTTAGGCTTGGTAGTAAGCACCTTTACCCAGTGGGCCATCTTGCCAGTCCTGTTTGTTTATTATTGGTGTTTTGTTTATTGAGACGGGGTCTCAGCTCACCCTAGCTGGCCTGGAACTACTGGCAGCCCTCCTGCCAAGTGCTGTGATTACAGGTGTGACTGGCCAGGGGAATCTCAAACTGTGACTCCCCAAATTCATGAGTTCTCAACACCAAACCTAGCACACTGCAAATCTGTGGATCCCAAACTTGGCAGCCTTTTGAGCCCAGGGATCCCACACCCAAGCCCCGAGCCCATTTCCCTGTTAGCCTCCTTCAGATCAGCCCTCTGAGGACATCCCATCTGCTCCTTACAGATCTGCTGCCCACTGTGCGGATTGTGGCTGGGGCAGTCTCTGCAGCCACCACCCTCTTTATGGTCATCACTGGAGTGGCCCTCTGCTGCTGTCGCCATGGCAAGTATCAGCCTGGCCTTGGGACCTGGCTCCATTCCTGGCTCCCTAAGCTTGCACAGGGCTCATCTTATCCCAGGTTCAAGTTCCCTCCCTACAGTTTCCTCAGGGTCCCCCCATCTCCTTCCCTCTCTCCCAGGCCGGGGTTCTCCTTGGTTTCCAGCCTTCCTAGCCCATTTTGCCCAGTCAGCTCTTTTCCCAAGTATCGGTCTTCATAAAATATGACCTCACGTGCCTCTCACCGTCCTGGGCCTCAGGCTCTTTCTCCAAGAAAAAGAACTTGGTCCGGATCCCAGGAAGCAGTGACGGCTCCAGTTCACGTGACCCTGAGGAGGAGACAGGCAGCAGAGAAGACCGGGTAAGATACTGGGCGTCCATATTCGACTCTGCTTCCAGACCAAAATAACAACCTAGTCTAACCCATTCTCAAGCTCAAGTATAGCCCTAGCCCTTTTGTTGTTGTTTGAGACAGGGTTTCTCTGTGAAGCCCTGGCTGTCCTAGAACTTGCTCTGTAGACCAGGCTGGCTTCCTAGAACAAGCAAGGTCTGGCTGAGTTGGGGAATGAGGGAGACATGAGGGAGGGTGGATTTCAGGTCAAGAGAAAAGCATGATCAAGTATAGGCAACAGGTTTTAACTGGGGTTAGGGATGTAGTTCAGCCGGTAGAATGCTCAAGGCCCTCGGTTCGGTTCCCAGCACTCCATAAACTCCAAATCAGAGATCCTCCAGTCTCTGCCTCCTGAGTGCTGAGATTAAAGGCGTGCACCATTGTACCCAGCTTGGTTCCTGTCTTAAATATGATGACCCTAGATCCACAGTATCCCCACAATTGCAAATATGTTTTATTCTCCAGTTATCCTTTCTGCTCAATATGCCCTCAGAGTCTTCTTTACTGTCTTAAGTCTAGCCTCCATGTCGCTCCTTCAGCCTGGCCTCCAAAGGAAGGCCTTTGGGATCTGGCAGTGGAATAGGACAATCGTCTGACCGGTGCCTGCCGTTATTTTTCCTACCTCAGGGTCCCATCGTTCACACTGAGCACAGTGACTTGATTCTTGATGAAAAGGAGGCCCTGGAGACCACGGTGAGTATTGGGGGAGAGCTCACCACCAGTCACCGGGTCTCCACCTCTTCCCACTTACATGCTTTTAAGCGCTTTGTGGAGACAGGGTCCCACCCTGTAGCTGGCTTTGGACTCGGGCGGTCTCTCCTGCAGCCCCTGGAGTGCTGGGTTATAGACCAGGACTTCCGACCTCAGCACCACACTTGGCCGCTACTCTGCCGCCGCCGCCTGCGTCCTCCTCTTTGGATTCTCTCACCTTCAGACCTACCTCTGCCAGCCGGTGGCGCACGCCTTTAATCCCAGCACTCGGGAGGCGGAGGCTGGAGGACCTCTGCGAGTTTGAGGCCAGCCTGGTCTACAGAGCAAGTTTCAGGACAGCCTAGGCTACCTAGAGAAACCCTGTCTTGAAAAAAATAAAAGAAAGAACTACCTTGACTTCCTGAGCCAGCTCACCGGTGCGCAGGCTCCACAGCCTCGGCTTGTGTTATTTATCATTTCTCCTTGGTCTCCAGGCCTTCTTTTCCCGTCAGCCATGTTTCATGCCTCTAGGTGTCCCTCTGGCTGCTCTCTACCAGCCAGGAGCCTGCTTTCCTCCCACTAGGTCCCATCCTAGCATCACATTTCCCAAAGACAGTCCTGCTTTGAAATCCTATCTCAGGATAGATGCACTGATTCCAACCCTGGCCCCTAATCTAAAGCTCCCTCCCTGACTTTCTTTGAGATAGAGTCTCGTGTATTTAAGGCTAGCCTCAAACTGAGCATGTAGTCAAGAATGATCTTGACCTCCTGATAATCTTCCTGGGTGTTGGGATTAAAGGCATGTGCCACCACACTGAGCTGGGAATCGAACCGAGGGTCTTGAGCATGCTAGCCAAGCATTCTGCCAGCTGAACTACATTCCTAAACCCAGTTAAAGCCTCTTGTCTATACTTGACCATGCCTTTCTCTTGACCTGAAATCTACCCTCCCTCTTTGCCTCCCTCCCTCCCTCCCTCCCTCCCTCCCTCCCTCCCTCCCTTCCTTCCTCTCTCCCTCCTGCCCCAACTTGAGCCCGACTTTGCTTTTTCTAGGAAGTCAACCCTTCTCCTGTCTCTGCTGGTCTATGTGCCCAGCTCTCTCTGTCTCAGAGTCTCTGCTCCTGCTGTTTCTGCTTTCTGCCTTCATGCCTCTCTCTAGGTCTGTCTGTAGCTCTGTGTGTCTGTCCACCCTTGATTCTTACCTTCCTATACCCTCACATTCTTTACTTGTCTCACTTGTTCCCCAGGATCCAACCAACGGTTACTACAAGGTTCGAGGAGTCAGTGTGAGCCTTAGCCTTGGGGAAGCCCCTGGAGGAGGCCTCTTCTTGCCACCTTCCTCTCCGATTGGACTTCCAGGGACTCCTACTTACTATGACTTCAAGCCACACCTGGACTTAACACCCCCCTGCAGACTGTACAGAGCACGGGCCGGGTACCTCACCACACCTCACCCCCGCGCTTTCACCAGCTACATGAAACCCACATCCTTTGGACCCCCAGATTTGAGCTCTGGGACTCCCCCCTTCCCCTACGCTACCTTGTCTCCACCCAGCCACCAGCGTCTCCAGACTCATGTGTGAAGACATCTCTCTAATTGAAGAGTCTTGAGGTCTTCAACCGGCCATCAAGTCCTGTCCAGCTTTCTGAGGAATCAGGACAGGTTGATGACCTATTCCTCCGAAACGGAGTACCATGGGAGGGAAACAGTGTCAGGATCATTGATGCAGAGTCAGCTCAGCCAAAACGGATGCTCCAAGTGGGAGCAATATGACCACTCTACCCATTTATTCCCCTGTGAGAAAGACATTCAAGACGGTGACTGAACTCTTTGCAGAGGGACAAAAGACAGGGGCAATGGGGGTTAGGGACGTGGATGGAAGGCATTTCTAGCCAGTAGAGAAGATATTTGAAAATGACCATCTGCAGCAAGAATAATGATAGCTTAAGACAAGTCAAGATGAAAGAAAGAATTCCCCACACCCAGTCCTGGTTCTCCCAGGGAGGGGAACTGGGGCCAATAAAAGTATAGCCAATATGGCTGCTCATTCTATGAGAACTCAGAATGACCACTCTCTTGATTCCTTCCTTACAGACACAGAAAGGATTGAATCCAAGGAGTGGGGATGGGGTGAGAATAAAAGAGGTAGAGGTGTGCGTGCGCGTATGCGCGTGTGCGTGTGCGTGTGCGTGTGTGTGTGTGCGTGTGTGTGTGTGTGTGTGTGTGTGTGTGTGTGTGTGTGTGTGTGGAGAGATGGCTCAGAGGTTAAGAGCACTAACCGCTCTTCCAGAGGTCCTGAGTTCCATTCCCAGCAACCACATGGTGGCTCACAACCACCTGTGATGAGATCTGGTGCCCTCTTCTGGCCTGCAGGTGTACATGCAGGCAGAGGACTGTATACTTAATAAATAAATCTTTAAACACATATAAATAAAAAAATTAAAAATATAAAAGGGGAATCTTGGGCTAAGAATATTTATGTTTAATTAGAAAAAAAAGGCAAAGAGGCAAGTGTGCTTGGAGGAGTCTCCTTGGGTTTTCTGTGAATGAAGAGGTCCATGACAATTGCCTTACAGTCCTTCCTCCACCCTGGCCGTGGGGAGTCATTAGGGGTGAAGTCCTAAGTCCTTCCTCAGCCCCTTGCTAGCTGCTTACTACTGATGGCACTTTCATTTCTTCTTGTTTTTTAAAGACTTATTATTTTTGTTTTACATGTCTGGGTATTTTGCCGGCATGCATTTCTGTGCACCACTTATGTGCCTGGTCCCCCAGGCCAGAAGAAGGTGATGGATCCCCGAAACTGGAGTTACAGACAGTGTGGGTACTGGGAATTGAACCTAGGTCTTCCAGAAGAGCAGCTAGTGTTTTAACCACTGATTCTTCTCTCAACAGAGTTTAACCTGGAACTCTTGATCTTCCATCCTCAGCCCCCCCCCCCCACTCACTCACTGGGATTACTGGTGTACATCACCACCCTACTTTAGACTTTTTTAATAACACACCCCGGCTTCACCCACACCCACACTGATGCATACACAGTTGAAAACATACAAACAGACGAATGTGGGCAGGTTCCCACAAGACACACACCTAGAAGTCCGCACAGAGCTGGGTTGCCTCCGTTGGTCAGGGAAAAGAGAACATTCTACACTTACTTGAGAGACAAAACAGTGAGCCCTTAGAGTGAGTGGGAATGCGGGGCTCCACACCGTGGTCCTCAGGTGTTAGGTATTTGAAGGTGACAGTACCCAGCACCTGACCTAAGTCATCTTTAAAGAAAGGGTTTTTGGATGGAGAATTTGAAGGTCCAGACACCTGGCAATTAGGGCAGGAAGACTGAATTCCTAGGTCTGAGGATGAAAGGGCAGGAGACTTGGTCTCTCTCTGATCCCGAGACAGAAGAGGCCTAGAGGAGACCAGTTCTAAGTTACTGTTTTGTCTTTTGAGACTGGGTCTCAGGTAGGCAGGCTAGCCCCAAACTCCCTTTTCCTGCCCCCACCTCTCAAGTGCTGGGATCACAGGGATGCTTTCACACTCCACTTCTATGTTCTTGACTGGGGAAATTTTGGAGGTCTGTATTCCTGGGATCTCAAGAGAGGAATTTATGGAGGGGTCCCGTGTCCGCTTCCCCCCCCCCCCTCCGATGGATTCTGGCATCCTTGGAGGAGGACAAAGCTGATAGTGGGTGTCTGGGTTTGCCAGAAGAGGAGGCTAAGGATGGAAGTCCCAAGAGAGAGCTCAAAGTCCAAAACGACTGAGCCCAGGACTGAGCCTAGTGACTGGCCTCAACGTGGGGTGTGACACCTGGAGTCTCGAGGGGCTGGGGCATGGCGCAGGCTCCCTCCCGGGGTTCCCGAGCCTCGCAGTGCGCAGAGCCGCCACGCTATTGTCTTGGCCGGGAAGGCGGGGCCGGCGCGGGGCGGGGCTGGCGGCGCCGGCGCAGCCCGGGGGCGGCGGGAGGAGGAGGCGGCGGCGGCGGCGGCGGCGGCGGCGGTGGCGCTGGGAGCTCCTGTCACCGCTGGGGCCGGGCTGGGCCGGGCGGGAGAGCAGGGGACGTGAGGGCGCGAGGCCCGGACATGGGGCCCGCCAGCCCCGCCGCTCGCGGCCGGGGCCGCCGCCGGAGCCCGCCGCCGCTGCCGCTGTTGCTGCCACTGTCGCTGCTGCTTCTGCGCGCGCAGCTCGCCGTCGGGAGCCTGGCCGGTGGGAGCCCCAGCGCGGCCGAGGTGAGGCCCGGCCGGGCTCTGGGGATGGGGGAAGGGGCGGGACCGGGCCTCTGGACCTGGACGCGGCAGGGCCACCGCAGAAAGCGCTGTCCTTTTTAGCCAGGTGGCCTGCCCCATGCACTCCGAACTCTAGGTTTTCTTGGGCTCCTCCATCGTCCGACTTCCCTGCCCCCTCCCACCCGCATCGTCGGACCTGTCTTTCCAAGAGCCCCTGGCTCTAGAAATCTAGCTCACTCCTAGCCGACAAAGCCCCAAGCCCTGCCCACCTGAACGTAGGACCCACCAGGCAGCAGGCGCTTGGATCTAAGAATCCGGGTCCCTTGGATCCTCTGGACCCACATGAGCCCCCTGCCCCCCAAACATCCAGGAGTCCAGGCCTCCACCCACTCCTCAATCAGGATATAGCTCCCAGGTCCTTACGGCCTGATGTGCAGGCCCTCAGGGAAGCCAGGCCCTTTCGTCTTTGCACCCCCTCAACGGGAACCCGAGCTGGAGACGGGGGGGGGGAAGGGGAGGAGGGGCCAGAACGCCTGGATTGCCCCCCACCCCACGATTCAAGTTTTAACCCTTTCGGGCTCCAGAACCAAGAAGCTGGGGCGGGGGCGGAGCCTGTCTTCTCAGCTACAAGGCCGTGAGAAACCCCGGGGGGTGGGGATCGGGTTCACCATAGCAACGGGAGAGCTGGGGCGCTCCCGCCCCACGGGATCTGTTTCCCGGGGAACGGTCCCTCCACCCAGGAGAGCTGAGGAGGATCTGGTGCTAGGGGCAGGTGTCCATCTGGGTTTTAGGGAGCAAGGGACCAGATGACCCAGAATGCCAGTGTTCCCCGGCCCCTCACTGCCCCATCTGCCTCCACTCCCAGGCTCCAGGGTCAGCTCAGGTGGCTGGACTATGTGGGCGTCTAACCCTTCACCGGGACCTGCGCACCGGCCGCTGGGAACCAGACCCACAGCGATCACGACGCTGTCTCCTGGACCCGCAGCGAGTGCTGGAGTACTGCAGACAGGTGGGCGGGGCCCACGGGCAGAGGCGTGGTCAGTGGTCAGTGGGTCCAAGCTGGGGCGGGGTCGCCCTTGAGGAAGCTAGACTTGAGAAAGGCCGAGTCCAGGGAGGTGAGAGGATCTGGAAAGCCTGGGGAAGTTCGGGGTCTGTGGCCAGCGAGGAGGCGAGGCGGGGCTAGGGCAGAACCTATTTTGAGATATTAGGAGGAGGAAAAAACTGCAAAAACGTCCACTAATCAAGATCACCTCAAGAGTGGCAACGCTTAGGAATCTGTGGAGCTATTTAGAAAAAGTGGGAGTGTAAGTGGGCGTGGCCAAAGGAGAGGCTGGGCTTAGATAAAAAGACCTTTAAACCAACAAGATGCGGGAAGCGATGGAGCCCAATGAGAGTGGTTTCCAAGGAGGCGTGAAATGAAAAGGCGGAGCTAATACAAAGAGAAGAGTTACTTAGAAGCTAAGCAGAGAAAGGCAGGGCACGAGAGAGGGCTATTTTAAGAAAGAAACCTGATTGAGGGGCAGGGTTGCCCTGAGAAATGGGCTTGGAGAGGTTGAACTTCGTGAACAGGCCTCGTTCACCAAGACCTCCTAAGAATGGTGAACTGAAGGGAGGGCACCCGAGGCTTAGCTGCCTGTTAGTTCTACAGACAAGAGAGGAAGACCTGGGGGTCCTTATGGACACTAGACAATTGACAAGGGAATGACCAACTGAGCATAGTAATCCCAGCTGTTGGAGAGGCTAAGGATCGCAAATTGAAGGCTTACTCAGGCTGTTCAAGGCCAGTGTAGAACGCTTATCGAGACCTGGTTTCAAAATAAAAAGAGGGTTGGGCATATAGTTCAGTGATAGAGCACTTGCTTTGGCGAGTGTGAAGCCCTGGTTGGGTCCCTCGTACTGCAAAACAAGAGAGCTGGGGTAGCCAGTAGGTTGATTCCACTTCTTGGTTCCCGCAGATGTACCCAGAGCTACACATAGCTCGCGTGGAGCAGGCTGCACAGGCCATCCCAATGGAGCGCTGGTGTGGTGGTACCAGAAGCGGCAGATGTGCTCACCCCCACCGTGAGGTTGTGCCCTTCCACTGCCTGCGTGAGTCACCTGCTGGGGGATGGGAACTGAGGTGACGTGGGAGTCCCCCACAGATGAGGCAGATCTACATTAGAAGTCCGGGTGTCAGGCAGAGACACCTCTGAGGATGCTTGGACTCTGAGGAGGGCAGGGCTGGGGTATTATGATTCTGGTGTCTCCCATCCCCCAGCTGGTGAATTCGTGAGTGAGGCCCTGCTAGTGCCTGAAGGCTGTCAGTTCTTGCACCAGGAGCGTATGGACCAGTGTGAGAGCTCAAGCAGGAGGCATCAGGAGGCACAGGAGGTGAGGACTGGTTCCGCCTACCTCCTAACCCTAGGACCTAGGATTCTAGGCCCTTCCTTCTAGAACCCAAGAGTTCCGATTGGGGATCTCTCATTCCCTTCTCCTGGAACACAGCCTCCAGGCCCCCTGTCCACACCCTCCAACCAGGTCCTTCTGGTCTCTGGGCCTTGTCTTCCTGCAGGCCTGCAGCTCCCAGGGCCTCATCCTGCATGGCTCTGGCATGCTTTTGCCCTGCGGCTCTGATCGGTTCCGAGGTGTGGAGTATGTATGCTGCCCCCCTCCAGCGACTCCCAACCCTTCTGGGATGGCGGTTGGGTGAGTGACAGCGGACTCTCTCTATCCCCTCCCCATGGCTCTTGAGACGGGGGATGGGAGCCTGGGAGCCCATCTGGAGATCTTACTGCCTGAGTCTTCTGTTCCTTCAGTGACCCCTCTACCCGGTCCTGGCCCCTGGGGGGCAGAGCAGAAGGAGGTGAGGATGAGGAAGAGGTGGAATCCTTCCCTCAGCCAGTAGATGATTACTTCGTGGAGCCCCCTCAGGCTGAAGAAGAGGAGGAGGAGGAGAAAAGAGTCCCACCTCCCAGCTCCCACACTCCTGTCATGGTCAGCAAAGGTGAGGCAGTCTCCCAGCTCTCTTCACCTTTGTGTTTAGGGCGATTTGGGGGAGCGTGGGAGTGCTTCAGGAGTGAGGGGCACAGCTGAGGAAAAGGAAGAGATGTCAGTGGCTTTGGATACGGTAGAGGTAGATTAGTACGTGAAGAATGAAGGGGGGGACCCGCAAAGGAGTGATGGGAAGAGGGGGCTCATTTTGGCAATGCTCCCAGAATTTTGCCAACGCAGGTCAGGCCTGGAAACATGATACCAGGTAACAACCATGGCTAAACTGGACGCATGCTGGTCTCTGGTGCATCCTGGGAAAAGTGGACTTCTCAGGGAGGAAAAGGGACTGGCCTGCCTGATCCTTGTCTTGCAGTCACTCCCACACCAAGGCCCACTGATGGCGTGGATGTTTACTTTGGCATGCCTGGGGAAATCAGCGAGCATGAGGGTTTCCTGAGGGCCAAGATGGACCTGGAGGAGCGTAGGATGCGCCAGATTAATGAGGTGACGATACCAAAAAACCCAGCATCACCACATGACTCCATGAATACAGGGAGATTCTTTTCTTTCTTTCTTCCTTCTCTCTCTCTCTCTCTCTCTCTCTCTCTCTCTCTCTCTCTCTCTCTCTCTCTTGTTATTCGAGACAAGGTTTCTTTATGTAGCCCTGGCTATCCTGAAACTCACTCTGTAGACCAGGCTGGTCTCAGACTCATAGAGATCTGCCTGCCTTTGCCTCCCGAGTGCTGGGATTAAAGGCTTGGGAAATTCTTTATTGACACCGCCTTGAAAGAGTACCCAACACCGCTCTCTAGGATGACACTGGATTACTGACCCACCTAGCAGATCATTGAAATGCCACCAGACACTAGAGATACTCTAGTCTATGGCACAATCCACTTTAAATTCCCTGGGAGCTGGTTGGGCATAACTGCATGTGCCTTAATCCTTACGCATGAGAGGCTGAGGCAAGAGAATGGGAAATTCAAGGCCAGCCTCAAACACATGAGTTTGAGAACAGCCTGGGCTACATGAGAACCTGTCTCAAAAAGAAGAAAAAAAAAAAAAAGGAATCCTCTGTCTATTCCTTCTTGGGAATCCAAAGTCCAGAGGCACTAGGTGATCTTCATCTTCTTGAGCCTTGGAGATGGGTGGGGGACTCCCTGTGGGACCAGGGTAGCTCCAGGAATCCTGAAGTCCTTCTACTCACTCCCAGGTGATGCGTGAGTGGGCCATGGCCGACAACCAGTCGAAGAACTTGCCCAAAGCCGACAGGCAGGCCCTGAATGAGGTAGGATGTCCTCCTCTGAGTCTTACTCATTCTCTGTCCACCACAGCGGCCACTCCATCCATTTCAACCCCTTCCTACTCACCTTGGCCCCTCCCGGCCCCCTTCCCCATTTGCCCCTGCTGGGGATGGAGCCTGGGGCTTGGTGCCTGCTGCTGAGCAAACCCTCTGAGGGCTGGCTTTGGACCCCTCCCTCAAATGGAGCCTCCTGAAGTAACAGCCAGTCCTCTCGTTTTTGTCTCGGTCCCTGCTAAGAAACCCGGCTTCCTAACTCTTGGCTCCCCTTCCCTGCCGCTGTCTTGTGCAACCCTACCCATGGAGACTCCTGTAGGTCAGCCTCCAGCCCCAGGCCTCGCCCATCCGCGCTGTGGAGGCTCAGCCTGTCTTTTCCTCCGGAGCGGCCCCAAGCTTCCCTTATACCTTAAGTTGACCAGTTCCGTTTTCAGATTGTTCCCACCTAATCTTACACCTTCAAACCAGTTCCCGTAGCCAGCCCCGCCCCAGCTCTGCTTGATCCTGCGGCCCATCTCTTCCATGGAGCCTCCCGCCCCAGATGGGCGCTGTGAGGAAGGAGACCCACTGAGGCCCACCCTGCTTGCCCTAGACTCACATTTACCCCAGCCCCTCTCTCTCCCCTACTGTTTTGCCCCTCACTAGCACTTCCAGTCCATTCTGCAGACCCTGGAGGAACAGGTGTCCGGTGAGCGGCAGCGCCTGGTGGAGACCCACGCCACCAGAGTCGTGGCACTGATCAACGACCAACGGCGAGCTGCTCTGGAAGGTTTCCTGGCAGCTTTACAGGGCGACCCACCTCAGGTATGGAAGGAGGGCTCAGGGCAAGCCGATGAGCAGAGCTAGGACCAGCCCAGACAGCCTTGGTCCCTCCCACAGGCTGAGCGAGTTCTGACGGCCCTGAGGCGCTACCTGCGTGCAGAGCAGAAGGAACAGAGGCACACTCTGAGGCACTACCAGCACGTGGCCGCTGTGGATCCTGAGAAGGCCCAGCAGATGCGCTTTCAGGTACACACGTGCCTCCGGTTCCCAGATGCCCTGCTAGCCCAGGCTCTTCTCTCTCTTTAAAAAACGTTAGGTGTATGTATGAGTGTTTTGCTTGCATGCATGTCTATTTTCCACATTCGTGCCTGTCTCTGGGGAGGCCAGAGAGGGTGCTGAGTATCCTGGAACTGGAATTACAGAAAGTTGTGAGCCACCATGTAGGTGGTAGGAGTTAAACCTGAGAACTCTTAACTGCTGAGCTGTCTCCCCAGGCCCCAGATTTTCCTCTTGACCTCACTTTTAGTTTAGAACACTTCACTACGCCTAGAACTTCCCTTTTGTGTCCCCAAACCCTTTCCAGTCCCTTTATTCCTATCCCTTGAATCCCAACTTCTTGATGCTGGAACACTGCCCCCAACACACACACACACACACACACACACACACACACACACACACACACACACACACCACTTATACTGTGCTTTTGACTACCTTCTTGCCCCCAGGATTCCTACTTCTTGTCCCTTGGAATCCTACTTCTTGTCTCTTGGACTCCTGCTTCCTATCCCTTGGACTCTACTTCCTTTCCCAGAATCCTTTTCCTT